GATTTGCTCCGCTTCGCTCCGTTGTCTAATACACTGCAAAGCTAAAGAGAGAGACAGGCAACAGCTAGTTATCAATTTTCCAAAGAGACCCAAATTTCCAGACCCTGCATGCTATCCCTTATGCCTTCTCCGAAGTCGTCATCTGTGTCCCACCTTCTTTGTCGACAAATCTGCAGCGGTCACGCCTCTGCCTTGCCAAGTTGAACTCGTCATCACCATCATCTCCGCTCACCGGCCGTCGTCATCACCAAGCGAAATCGCCACAGTAGCCTTCGTCGTCAACTTCCGGTCATCCTCGTCGCTCGGCCTTCCTCATATTCGTCTTGCCGTCGACATCTCAGTTGTCCCAGTCGCTCCTTCGCAGGTAAGAGTCTCTGATCCTCCCTTCTAATTTCTAAGGATGGAGCTGGGCGGATTTTATCCGCACCGCGCCAGATAATGTTTGGGTCGAAAATTGGCGACCCATCACGAGGCGCGGGCAGATCGGATCAAGAATTCGAGGACAGAGCATGGCACGGATTTATCACTATCCACCCTGTTCATGCCCCGTCCTATTCCTACCCCGGGATCTACGCTTCGACGCCCAAGTTAGTACGATATAGGAGAATGGTGTATCTGACTGTAGAGAGAGTTTAGAGAGAGATCTTAGAATGAGAGTGTGAGAAGGGAAGAGAGGATCTCAGATTTGGAGGGTGTGGCCTCCTTATATAAGGTTTGGGTCTCCTTTAGTGGGTTTGAATCTGGACGCCTTACGATGGGTTTAAGCCCATTAATAATCATTTATCTAATACCCACCAAAAGCTATACTAAACCCTTCTCCACACAACTACAAAACAAATAATACCTGCACCAAACAAGTCTGATCACGCGAATCAAGTCAGAAATTTCCATCACTACCCAGCGTTCTTTGTTTTGTTAAGTGGAAAAAAGCACCAAAAAAGAAAGGAAAGACAAAACAAACGGACCAGTTGATAGTTGAATTGGGCCTCCTAGTGGAAGAAAGCCCGTTTGTACTCAACGCGCGGCGACCCGGATATATCCCAGGCTTAAACAAAATCCGGAAAAAGGCCGAAGCTAACGGCCCATGTTTACAAAGTTCGCAGATTGCAGGCCCACGAATAAATTGGCACATAAGAAAGCACAAAGCCGGACGACACTTGTCAACCCAATGACCCATACGAACGAACACACAGTACTGAAGCGAGCGAGGGGCTGGACGGAGTTTTGCCTTCCTACAGTCTTGCAGGGTTTTAGAAACGAAGCGGAGGCTAGGGTTTTACAGAACACAAGACCAAGAACGAAGGGGGAGGAAGAGAAGAAGACTGATTTCTTCTAGAGCAAAGTAGCTATGGGTTTCTGGGGTAATTCTCGCTTCCACTTCTAAGTAATGGCTGCTGAACGTGTTTGGTTGGTTGCCGAAATAATAGCGAGAGAATGGATTTGATAGGATTTCTAGAGTTCCTTCTTACGTTTCCCTGGTTTTCATTTGGATATTTATTGGCCGCCATTGAGGTTCCCCTCTGATGCTTGGAATTTTTGTTGGTTTTGTTCGTACAGGAATTGAGGTGAAACCAGGAAAACCTCATCCTTATCACTCTGATAATGTGGAGGGAACGCTTTGTGTAACCCAGGTATCTCTTCTTCCTTTTTCTTTGCTTAGCTGTTCCTGGGATAGATTTCGTTCTCTTGGCTTGTAGTTAGTTAGTTGCGAAGGGTGCTTTAATTTTGAATGTTCCCATGGAAATGATATGATTCCAGGCAACTCTCGGCCTTGGTAAATCAACGGATAGGAGCATACTACAGTGTTCAGTTGGCCACAAGAGTCCGGTTTTCTTGTGTTCTTTGCTGCCGGATAAGAATGAGTCTTGCCCCTTAACACTAGAGTTCAAAGATGAGTTGGTAGCTTTCTCGGTGGTGGGCAAACGGAGCATTCACCTTTCCGGCTATTTTGTGGCCGACGAAGGAGACTATGTTCCTGATGAGTACGATCCGTATCCTTTGGATTACTTTGACGTTAGAGATACATTTTGGTTGAAAATGTGTGTGTATTTGTTGTTTCTGTTCTTCCTTAATTTGATGTCAGTGATTCTGGAGAGGACATTGGGGATACGGAGTCGGATGATGAATCCAGTGAATTTGAGTATGGTGATGATGAAGATGATGATGAATTCATCTATGATGGTGATGACAATCTAAATACATTCCGTTCTTCTCGCGTTCCGAATAATGGAGGCATGGTTCTCTTTAGTCAACAAACCAATTGCTTTGACTGTGGTCCATTTTCAGAAGTGGCAATTTGACTAATCTGTGTGGCGTGATTTTGACTTTCATTATAGTTGTTATTGAGGAAATAGACGATGACGAGGAACCAACAAATGGAGATGGATTGTCTAAACTGAAAAAGAAGAAGAATGGTCGTGGTGGTGTCTCTGTGCTAGAAAGTGAAGATGAAGATGGGTTTCCAGTTTCTGCTACAGAAGAGGGAGGAAAAGTTATTATTGAATGTCCCCAATCTAAAGAATCGAAGAAAAATAAGAGAAAAGTGAAGGCAACTACTGAACCAGAGAGCCAACCTGAGAAGTGAGCTAATTAATCATATGTTCTTCGTATTTTCAAAACTTGGAACTGAAGCTAGGGAATGAAGTATCTGGTTGATACGTGTTCACATCTAATGGATCATGTTTCGTATATATATGACTCAGGCTACCAAGTATTCATATGCTGACTTAATTTTGTACCAGGAAAAAAAAGAAGCAGAAACAGAAAGGAAATGAGGAAACTGTGGCTGATATGGTTGAGGATGATCAGAAAGAACTCTCTGGTGATGAAACCCAGCCTGCAGATGCAAAACAAGGATCTCCTGTTACGAATGAAGGTGATAAAAGGTATGTGAAGTTTGTTGTGCTTTTAGTGTATCCTATGGTGTCTTCCATTTGCTGTATAGTAAGAACAAGCAAACTGAATGTTGTCAATCAAGTGCAGTGAAACTAATGTTATATGATCCTTGTACAGGGAAACTGAAGTCGTTGAAGGAAGTGTATCCAGCAAAGGTGCCACCAAGAAGAACAAGAAGAAGAAAAAGAAGAACAAGAAAGCAGGTGGTGATGGGGAGAGCACAGTTGAGAAGGCTGTTTCAGGGGTGAAATCAGATGGAGCTTCTGACGAGAAGCAATCTGCTTCCAAGTCTTCGAATGTTAGAACCTTCTCAAATGGACTGGTCATTGAGGATGTAGCTATGGGAAAACCAGATGCTAAAAGAGCTTATCCTGGAAGTCAGGTACACTTCTCTTAACCAAATCAATCTTTCTTGAAAAGCCAAATATCAAGTTGATGTTTGGTAGTATTTAGCGTAATGTGGAATGAATCCTGGAGTGAACTTTACCTTATCTGGAATCATGATTTGTGGTCAGAAGGAGATTATGATCATGCCTAATTTGTATGGTTGTTTCATCGCTAGATGAATTTTGAGACAGAGAATTGAACTAGGATTCCTTGAGTAAGCCATTGATAAAAGCATAAAGCTTTATTTGACTGGAATGGCTCTGTCTTGGTCAACAGGTCAGTGTGCGCTATACTGGCAAGCTAAAGGAGAATGACAAGGTTTTTGATTCTAACGAGGGGAGGGCTCCATTTATGTTCCGGCTAGGTACCTGGAGATGTGATTTATGGGCAACACAAACTGTTTTGATGAACTTAGTTTTTACTATTTTCTTTTCACATGGTGCAGGCGTGGGTCAAGTCATAAAAGGATGGGATGTCGGTGTTAATGGTGAATCACTTCAAAGTTTGTTCCTTCTTTCAATTTCCCAGCTGGTTGTCCCTCATGTCCTTATGCTGGTTGGTTTTTATTTTATTTTGTAAATTTTCAGGCATGAGAGTTGGGGACAAAAGAAGACTCACGATTCCTCCGGCAATGGGGTATATCATAAATCCATAATTTTCCCCTACTTATCCTGTCCTATGTTACGACTTATTAAGCGCTGCAGAACTGCTGCTGCTCTTGACGCTGAGATAACTAACAGTTTTCTGTATGTGGACTTTGTCCAGCTATGGACATGAAGGTGCTCGCAACAAGATACCGCCGAATTCGTGGCTGGTATTCGATGTGGAGTTGGTGAATGTCCGTTGATCAAAGATCGACCTTGATTTTGTTTGTTCTCTCAGAGGTTTTGAAAGCCATCAATTGGTCTGGTAAGGATGCAGGGTGGCAGTCGATGAGAGAGTTTCGTCAAGCTTCAGAGTTGGCAACTGTTTCCTGAAGACTAGAGAGTAGAGACTGTAACTTGTTACATAGAGATCTCGAGAACATGGTTTTGGGGTGGTGAGACTTTCCCCAAACATTTTGTAGTATTCGATTCCATCCCATTGTATCTCTGACTTCATAGGTGGAGTGGACCGTCATTTGTTGAACATGAAACTTGAATCTCTATCCTATTCTCCTTGGCTTGATGTTTCAATGTTGAGCCGATTAAAAAAATTAAAGAAAAGCAAAAAGGTTTTAATGGCCAATTCGTAGATTTGGAGCTTACTTAAAATTAAGGGTCCAAATTTAGTTATGCAAATTTATGCACCATAAGGCATAGGATTATCGTTCCTATTAGTAGTAGGGCTTAATAGCGTTAAATGACCATTAAAATCAGCGGTGCATTTAGGGGGCTGTCACCATGCCGCGACTCAGCCCTTCTCTAAATTCAAAGCTAGTACAACCTTTCTAAATTCTCAAATTTGTATATTCATTTCAGTCGCTTGTGGCGTTACGGCTCAGTACTCTCCGCCTCTTTTTAAATGTAGCCCACTGGTCTACCCTATCCTCGATCCACTGCGAATTAAAATGTCAGTATATTTGAAGAACGTTGTGGGGATGTGGGCTTTCGGGCTGAAGTGAAGGTTTTCTTATGATCAGGGCCCATCGGCCCAGTTGAATCGGACGCCGTCGTTTGAAGAAGGGAGAGATTTCTACAAGGCGAAATGGCAAAACCCTAAACCATTTCTACTCCATCCATAAAGCGTAAAGACAGACCATCTGTCGAAAGACGTTCTCCCGCCGTCTCTCCCAATTTCCTACCCGCGGCGTTTCCCTTTGTGGCCGCTGATTGCCGCCTCCGCTAGCCTTCCGGCCGCATCTCCTTCAGTTTCCAGCCTCCGTCCTTTTCTTCTTGAAGCGGTACTCTACACGCTGGATTATACGCTCTGCTCGATACAGACGCATCATCAGCACGCATTCAAAGGTAACTCATAACATCTCTCAGTTTTCGAGTTAAGGGATGATGTGTTTTTTTCAATTCACCTCGTGGTCCTGCCAGTTTATCGTCTTAGTCAATTGGTACTCTCGCTTTCTTGTGTTTATTTTGCCTAACAAATGGCGGTCAAGCGTTCAGAGGCTAGGGTTTAGCTTCTCATTGTGCAAAACCTGTGACTTGAAGTTGTCGATGGGTTTTTTCGAAGTTATTTTATGGAGTTAATGCAAAGGACCGCGGGTTCTGAATGGCTCATGGTTCGCTAGTTCGTATCCGTTCTGACGTATTTACATCTCTTAAGGGGGGAAAACGGATGGTTGCAGAATTACACTGCGTAGTTGGAGATGCTTGTTTAGTGAAAAGCTAATATCTTGTGCTGAGTATAAAGTGTAGCTTAGAGTCAGAGAGGCAAGGGTTTGTTTTGGGAGAAGCTAGTCTATATATCGAGTGAATTGGAATTCCTCAATGGTGTGTTCTCATGAATGGTTCTAATCCATCACTTTGGTTACCTGCTAAAGTACCTTGCTTTAAGAATATCTCTCTCTCTTTAGTATACTTACTACATGAACAGTTATAAGGAAAGTAATCCCTTTTGAACCATCATTGTTGCTTTGAGTCATGAAGTAATCAAATATGGGTATGCATGTTGTCTCTAAACAATACTAGCTCAGGTCTGATTTCAGTTCTGGATTTTTTATTTATTACATGAGGACTCTCTTTGCTTGTAACTAGTTCTGGGGAAATGCTGCTAATAATTGTTCACTTGTTCAAGAAATCTAAAATTGAAGTTTTCATGTTTGTCATATAATAGGTTCACATGGGCACACCTAAAGTAGAATTCGATGCGGAGGATGTGGAACCAATGGAAGATGAAGTTGATGGGGAATTCACTGATTCCGATTCCGACTCAGGGGAGGAAGATATCCAAAAACTGACTAATCCCTCTAAGGATGCAGTCTACAACCGAGATGGTATGAACGATAAGCTTCAAGAAATCAGCTGGCCAGAGAACTTGGGTTGGTTGCATAAACTCTCCCTCGACATCAATCAAGAGCAAGATGTAGATGTGAACGATGACCTGGCACGTGAGATGGCATTTTACACACAGGCATTGGAAGGGACAAGGAGGGCCTTTGAGAAGTTTGAAACAATGGGACTTCCCTTTCTAAGGCCTCCCGACTACTATGCGGAGATGGTGAAGTCAGATACCCACATGCAGAAAGTGAAGAGCCGTCTCTTGGCTGAGAAGAGGAACATGGAGGAAGCAGAGGAGAGAAGGAAAGCTAGGGAGTCCAAGAAGCTATCTAAAGAGGTTCAAGCCCAGAAGCAGAAGGAGAGAGCTACACAGAAGAAATCTGAGATTGAGGCTGTCAAGAAGTGGAGGAAACAGAGACAGCAGAACGGGTTTCCTGCTCCTGGTGGGAAGAAGAATGGCGATGAGATTGATTTGGACTTTGGAGATGGTGTGAAGCCGTTTGCCAAGTCCAACAAGCAAAGGCCTGGGGTATCTCCAGGAGACAGGTCTGGTGGCAAGGGAAGAATGAAATCATGGAAGGGCACCGGTAAACCCGATAAGAAAATAGTGAAGAGGGACAGGAAGGACTCGAAGTTTGGGTATGGAGGAAGGAAAGGCATGAAGAAGCAGAACACTGCCGATACCACTGATGATTTCAGGGGGTTCAGGAAAACAGGTGGCGACAGCGGGAATAAGAGGAGAAGGAAGCAGTAAGATGTGGAAACTATGTAACAGCAAGAATTTTCAATGTTCAAATTTTGTTCGTCTTAAATGGCATGCTTGTCTGTCGTAGAATTGTACTGAAATTTTGGATACCCTTATGATTCAGTTTCTTCTACAGCTAAATGAATGATTCTAGTGCCTTATTGGCTCCATGATTATGTGTCATAAGTGCTCTGTTTTGGCATTGTTGGTGGCCTGATCTCTCTGGTTCTGAACTGTAGACAGCACAAAGTCTGGGTTTTTTTTGCAGCTGCTATGTGTTGTTCTATCAACTATTTCTCTTTGGATGCATGTTCTCTGAACTTGGGATCATTTCCCCTGCTGTGAAGAGGAATAAAACAAAGGGCGGGAAAATGGACGAAGCCCACAAGACTAATGGATCAAGAAGTTCTTTCCTTAGTAACAATGATTACCGTACAGTACATCAAATGATTAAATGTTCTCCGGCTTGACGGACCTTAGGTATATACTTTAGTCTCTTAATACAGCTTGCCAAGGTCCTATCAATTGACCTCTTTCTCCATTTTTAGTTCTTTACCATGACCTAATTTCTTGTTGAACTGATCTCTATTATTGTCTTTGGCTTGTCTGTGACCCTTGAACGAGCTAACAAGATCAAACCTTTTTCACACTCAGTTTGAGATCTGTTGCAGAAGTCTGGAATTTCTCGGCCCACGGTCGTCAGAACTCGATCACTTGAACATTTTATATGGCTATGGCTAGATTACACATCAATTGATCAAATTTACCGAAAATTATATGGTCCAATGAAATTTCTAGAGTGAAACTGTGTCACCAAACCCTTTTCAGGTTTTAACATTTTGCAGCATCGATCATCAGCCACTATAATAATGGCTAATTAGAAGAATCTGTGACGGTTCTTGTAACGAACATTTGTTTAATTATTATTGTTTTAATAATTGGTGATAAATCTGTGTTCGATTATAAAATTATAAAATCAGAGACCCCAAGTCCACAGTTGTCAAGTAGACACATCATCAGTTTGATCATAAACTACGCATTGAGTAAAGATCCAATTTTTTTATTATATAAAAGTCTGTTAATTAATCGTTTTCTTAATCCACTTTCAAGCTTTCACACCACACCTCCATTAACTAACTTCCGCAGCAAAAAAAGCTTCTTTCCAACGTTTTCTCCTCCATTTATATACTACCCCAGCCTTTCAATTTCAAAACCCCACCATCCATTCTTCATTTCTTCCACAATCTCCAACTGGGTTTAAGCGAAAAATGGTGGCTTTGACATTCTTGTCATTGGAGCTGATAACTCAGGCAGCTTCGAGCTCAGTGGTGGTCTTCTTCTTCTGCAATGTGATCATCGTCACCATCCTCGTCGCCTCGAGGCCTCCTCCACCGTCGGCGAGCGGAATTCGCCACGTTTCGGTGTCGGGGAGCCCGTACGCGGCCATTTATCAGCAGGAGGAGACTGTTATCGGTGGATACACACATACTCTGTATTCCAATGACGAAAACAGAGCATCGGAATCGAAGTTGAAATCGGCAATGAATACCCACCAAGAAGAAGAAGAAGATGAAGAGGAAAAGGAAGTGGCAGGAGAGGAAGGGGATTGCAATGGTGGCGATGATGATGTGTATGTGGAGGAAGAGGATGACGAACTGAGGAGGAGAGTTGAAGCCTTCATAGAGAAGACTAACAAAGAATGGAGGGCAGAGTTGCTTAGGACGTCACAATCGCGGCTGATTGCTGCTCGTTGATTTGATTGTGTTGTACCGCAAATGTAAAATGGGTGATGGGTGTGGAAAGCCGCAAGGAACAGAGTTTTTTTTTTTTTTGTTCCTCATGGAAATTCAGAAGCCATGCCCAGAAATATTATGGTGGCTGGCTCCTTTATCTTTCTTTTCTCCCCTAGCTTTTCGATTTTGAATATAGTTACTGGCTGTAACTTTATCAATAAATTTACTGGTGATTCCCTCCAAATATTTTTCGTTCTTGTTCCTTCTCTAATTCTTTTTTGCTTCATACATAGGTATTTGAACTCTGGAGTGCAAAAAAGCTCCGAGGAGTTCCAGTAACTTTGTTTGCATGTTACAGAAAATGGTTGTATCTAGGGTTAATCTAGAGCACGAATTTTGTTATTTGAGGGGGCTTGAATTATTTAGTACGAGAGAAAAAAAGAGAGAAACAATTCCAATATTTTTTGAAATTACACAAAATATCATGTAAATTAGAAATTTCTAGTCTTTAATGTGTTGTATTCAAAACAATTGGTAGGTTACGGTTGGAGGATTTAGTTTTGTTTCTTGACTGTTTTCAATTATGTAACTTCTCTGTATCTAGCAGTTTTCTCGTTGATATGAGAGATCTTGTGATAAAAAAATATATTAAAAAAGAATGGGTATATTACGAAGAGAAAATTAATCATGCATTTCAATTTGTAGTATATTTTTTCAATATTTTCATAACTAGAAAATGAATGTCTATCTATTAAGTGGCTGAAAAATAAATAAATAAATATATATATACGCAAAAGAACCTTTGAAAATAACGACTTTGTTTTCTAATTTACCCTCCTTATTAGTTTATTTATTTCAAGGGAGAGTCCATTTTTTTTTTCTTATGATTTTGGAGGGTGTAGTGGAAGTTGGGGGTGTTGTTTCTTTTCTATCATTGTTTTCTGTTTGACATGACACATCATCAATTTGATTGCAAATTAAGCCTTACAAGAAGAACCCAATAAACAAATAAGGAGGGAAAATTAGAAAACAAAGTCGTTAATTAATCATTTTTTTGTTCGTCATCCACTTTCAACTTTCTAGGCTTCCACACCACACTTCTCCTGCAAAAAGCTTCCTTACCACTCTTCTTCCTCCCATTTAAATGCCCCAAGCTTTCGATTTCGTTCCTCACCATCCCAACAGTCTCTCTCTCTCTCTCTCTCTCTCTCTCTCTCTCTCTCTCTCTCTCTCTCTCTCTCTCTCTCTCTCTCTCTATCTATCTCAATTGGGTTTTCTCTTCCGCTGCTGGAGAAGGAGGGGAAAAAATGGCTGCGTTGACTATCTTCTCACTGGAGCTGATAACAGAGGCGGCTTCGAATTCGACGCTGGCCTTCTTCTTCTGCAATCTGATCATCGTCACCATCCTCGTCGCCTCGAAACCTTCCCCCGGCGGCGGCGGAAGCCGAATTCGCCGCGTGTCAATGCTGGAAACCTCGTACGTCACCGTCAATCGGCAGGAGGAGAAGGTCGTCGTCGTCGTCGGCCGTGCTCTGCCGCCGAGCGATGAAAACAGAGCATCGCCGCCGTCGGAAACTAAGGTCGAGATGGTGATCAGTACCCACCAACAAGAACAAGAAGAAGAATTTGATGACAAATGCGGCAGCAAAGTGAAGAATGGAAAGGAAGAAGAAGAAGAAGAAGAAGAAGAAGAAGAAGAAGATGATGACGAATTGAGAAGGAGATTCGAAGAGTTCATAGAGAAGACTAACAAGGAATGGAGGGCAGAATTGCTCAGAACATCGCGGCAGCAGTAGGCAAAGATTATAATCTGGGATCTTCAAGCTCGTTGATTGCGTTGACAAATTCTGTCATTGGAGTCAAGAACAGAATAAATTTTTTGGTTGTTAAGAGGAGAATTCAGAAGGGCATTGTCCAGAAAAATCAGGGTGGCGCCCTTCAAAATTATTTCTCTGTTTTTTCTTCTCCCTCCAAACTTGTGAAGAAAAGTCAATTTTGAATGATTACTGTCTGTAAATTTCCAATAATCAACCAGGCTATTACACATTTGTATTAGACAAACTACAATGTAATTGTTAGGAAGGAAAAATGAGCTAGTAGGACGGAACCAGTAACTTAATATCGCGATATCCGCTACGCAATCAACTACATATTAAGTTAGATAATACTCGAGCAATTATTGAACAGAGCAGATCAATCCATTCAAACATGTTATTTGTGAAAAATAAACATGAGCAAGTGCAGAGAATGAGGGCCGGAATTGAAAAGGGGCGGAGGGATTAATTAATGACAGGGAAAAGATGTTATTTGGAGGATTAGCACGCGTGATTAAAAGGGGAGCACGAAGAAGATTCTTCAATCACATGGATTATCCATAACCCAAAAGCGTAATTAAGGGTACTAATAACAGAGTTGGGTGGACACCACACCACTGACTGCTAGGGCTGGGAATTTAGACCAAACCGTATGACAAACCGCGGTTTAGACCGTACCGTACGGTTTGGTCCGGACCGTTAGACCATGAATACAATTTGGTCTGGTCCATGGTTTGCTTCTTTCACTTGTGGTCTAGAACGGTGTGGTCTGGTCTAGACCGTGGTTAACCGTCCAGACCGTGACAAAAATTAACTATGGGCTGAGCCCAACTAGGTAGCCCCAACCCTACACATTTCAATGGGCCAAAGCCCAATTGCATTGCCCACAGCCTACCACAGCCCTAGCTGCGTGCTTCCCCATCCTCCCGCTATCCAGCAATTCGGCTGCTGCGTGCGCCGTGCTTCCCCATCGCAACTCGCTCGAGCCTCGAAGTGAGAAGGGAGAAGGAAAACGGAAAGGAGAACCCCAATCGTTGACTTTGCAGGCTAGCATGGAGCTTCGTCTCGCCGACTTTGCAGCCCCAACCCCAATCGTCGCCTCGCGCCCTCGCCTCCCCGTCTCCGATTATCCATCATCCGCCCCACCGCCGACTTTGGAGCTTCGTCGTTGACTATCCAGCTTCATTGCACGGTTGCTGTTTGTCTCCATCGCCTTCCACCATAGCCATCGACCTCCACCATCCTTCTCTTCTCAGGCTGCTCCATCACCATCGACCTTCACCGACTGGCGACTGCCATCAACCTCCGCCGACCGCCATTGACCTCCGCCGACCACCATCGAACCTATCTATCTTTATAGCCATCGACGTTTGCAATTCTTCCATTGACTCCACCATTGTTTGCTGCCGCTGCAACAGAGAACCAAAATTATGGTAATAATGATTGACTGTTCTTCCATTCCCCTATGTTTGTTCTTCATTCCCCAATTCAAATTGTTACTAAATGGCCAGAATGCTTAATAGTTAATATGCATCTGTCTATTATTCAGGCTAGCAAAAGAGCTCGTTACGAAGATAGCTCTGGATAATACAGGTTTTGTTGAACATGGTTTACTCGGTTCAGACCGTACCGGACCGCACCGCATAGGCGTGGTCTGGTCTGGACCGTATAGGTTATGGTCTGGTCTATGGTCTCTGTTCTACCCTCACGGTCTGGACCGCAGACCGTGTATATGGTTTGGTCTGGACTAGACCGCACCATTTCCCAGCCCTACTGACTGCAGCGTGGCTGCTCTGTTTTCAGAACTTTTTAGTCGTTAAATCTCTACTTTATGCCCAAAAAAAAACCCAGAAAGAGAGGGATTGTTAGGATTTTGTGTGCTCTTATCTTATCCAGTGCTGTAAAGGCTGGGATGCCAATTCTGCAATTTGGCCATTTGGAGTCAGCAATGTGGGAAGAAGGAGACGAAGATGCCTTCAGCTTTCCTAAAGTACTACCATCTGTGGATTAACAAGTTTGTGTGAAGAGGAGCTTTGTCATCACAAGTTGTCCACGTTGGTAGAGATGACACATTTTTTCTGCTTCCAGACAATCCTCGTACTGTGAAGAGAACTTTAAAGAAACAGAGTAAAGAACAATTTGATGATCGGAACGGTCTTCGCTTCAATGCATCGCATTGGATAATTTGGCCACCTAAACAATACAACGACGAATACTAATAGAGATAAGACAAGGATGTATTAGGGTGGATTTGGTTCTTTTAGTTGTCTCGATACCGAATTAGTCGATAACCCAATTACCCATGTTACATGGACAATTTTAACATTTTCATTGTTTTGTAAGTCACAACAAATTCATCGACCGATCTCCGGCGACCAAATGGGTACTTAACCTAAGCCATCAAGCTTTGGCGAGCTTCATTTCATGTTCATCCATACCAACATAAATTATCATTCATAACCCATCAGATAAAATAAAAAAAAAACAGCTCCAATGGTTAAGTTACAGCAAGAACTTAATCAGACCAGGAGAGTTCACACACCACAAGTAGATTCAATACAAACTCCCTCGTCCTCTCCCTTGAAATTGCTACAACGACTTAAGAAAAAGGATAACAACACTACCAAATAACAGTAATGCTGCCAACAAGAAGACAAACCTTTTATCCTAAACGCTTCTACCTTGAGTCTTGAAAACCCTAAGAGCTCCTAAACAGAACACAACAAAAGAGTACACTTGCCAGGTTAAAAATCTCTTACGCCAGGCGATTCCTGTAAAAGCCCTCGGTTACTGCTGCTCTCTTTGCGGTGCGACTAGTGAAGATACAACATCAGCCCCACATGTAGTAAGTGTCAAAGGTGTAGTAACTTGATCAGCAAGATACCTCACAGTGTGTTGGTGACTGTTCATGTTCATGACCTCGAGAGTCGTCCTCGTCTTCCTCGTCATCAACCGTGGAGGAACTCCGGTTGTCAAGAGATGGCGGGTTCCTACTAAACATATGGACGGCAGGGTTGTTAAACGAATGCTGGTTGGTGTTGTCTCCGTGGTGGAATGACGACGAGGGAGGGCTTATGACTGGCTTCATTGCAGCATACGCCCCCTTTAGATCTGCGGCTGTCAGAACAGTGACCGGAGGATGCGTAGTCACCATTGGTGGTGGTGGAGGAAGTGGTGGTTCAGTTCTCTGCCTCTTCTGCTTCGGCTCCATCTGATGACCAGGTGTAAAGCTGCCGACAACTACCTGATGTTGCATCCGAAACAAGCAGTTAAGGAGCGAGCAAGAAGTCCAAAGAGCTAACTTTTGAGAGGGACAGAGGAAGAATGATCATACCTGCACAGGACCAGCAGCTACCAAAAGACCAGCAAGACCTCCACCAACAACTCGACCGTCAGGGCCTGCTAATGACACGCTCATTCCACCTGATCTACTCTTTTGTCCTCCGGTCTCAGTAAGCATGAAGGACCCGGATAAGGAGAGTATCTCGAAACGGCCCTGAAAGCACACAGTGATGGTGGTGACTGATGGTTACAAGAACTTCTGATACAATTGCAGCACATAACTGGATACTGGACTGGTAACTAAGAAGCAAGGTCAAAAACAATAAAGAAGCTGCACCTCGTATGTCAGTGTGCCACCCGAAGAAGTAGGCTGGCGAAGAGTGACATTTGAGATTGTGCCATTTGCAGAAAGAATGCATATGGCTCGAGCACCTTGTTGAGAAAAGGACATAACCTTCATTGTGACATCCTGTTACCAAAAACAAAAACTCACTAAGAAACCATTTCTCACAGTGTCCAGATTCACTTGGTATTTAATATCAGGAAATACCTCGCCAGCATTGACATTAAGCACATGGGGAGTAAAATTCGCGCCGACAGAGTAAGCAATTCCATCCCCTGCAAATGGTATTGCAGCATTAGATCATGGTTCTACAGTTGCAAATCACATCCATAGAAATTTTGAACTTCAGAAAACCCTACAGAAAAGGATTTGATTACAGACAAGCTTCCTAATATTAGTAAGAATCTTCCAAACAGATTGGAATGAGACAAAACTGTACTTCGTTGACTGGATCCCATGGCATGACGTGATTTGTAGAATCCTATAATTCTCCTGCTGCAGACACTTGGCCAGCAAAACTATGGGTTGCTTGCTGGCTGGCTGGCAGTTAACTATCACCCAACTGGATTTACAAAGAAATGAAAGCATCCCATCATCTAAAGAGACCATTTGCTGCCACAGAACAGAATTCTGAGCTCATGATTGGATCATTACTATTCCTTTTACCAACATTTTAAAATTCAAAAGTAGCTTAGCTTAAGACAGATCTGGGAACAGTTCTAACCACCAGACTTTGTTCCTAAATCCAGATTAACAGCTTTAAACTATCTTACCTGAGACAACTAACTTAGAGAGAAATTCCTAGTAGAGGAAAAGAAAGATTCCAATCCACTTTACTTTCACAGTATCTATAATCAGTCACCAGTTAGCTTCTCCCCCATTTCATTTCTCCACCATTAATGTCAGAAGGTGAATTTGGTCCCACTCAGGCCAAAGATCCATTTGTGAGACCCCATCTCAGATATTTATCCTATTACAACAACAACCCAACCCACTGGTAAAAGATCGATTAGAAACTCATGATCTCCGATGTAACAGTGAAAAGTTCAAGACTTTAGAAAAACTCTTGAGAGCGAGCTAGCTAGAGAATTAGAATCACAAATATTTCTTCTTCTTTCTTTAGGCTTTTTTCCCTTTTTACCTGGGCTCTCGTGCTCGGTTCTGTGCTGCTGCTTCTGCTTCTTGACCGAGTCAATCGCCCGGCCTCTGCCTCTTTTCCAAGACGTCGACGACGAGGAGAAATCTCCTCCGGTGAGAGGGATGGACGCTGATATCGGCATAGGCGACAATGTCGGGTTCAGACTTCCGTCGGGTCCGTACTTTCTCGGCCTTCCCCTTTTCTTCTTCACCAACGTGCCGCCGCTCCCCGGCGGAGAACTTGCCGGTGGTGGTGGGCTGCTGAACTGGGTCGAGTTATTTTGAACTGGGTTCGGGTTGATTGAAGCTGAATTCGGGTTAGGGTTCGAAATTTCAGCTCTAGGAGCAACCCTGTAGCTCTCTGGAGCCTCATCGCCCCTAACCGTTACACCTGAAGAATAAATCATTTCTTGTGTTGCCGCCTCCATTTACACACAAAACACTAAAACCCACCCACCGAAAAAAGAAAAACCCTTGGAGCTAAAGATCGAAACTTTTTTCGAAACTGAAGGAGTACAGGGGAAATGGCTACTTCAGTTTCAGAAAACGAATTAACAGAGGGAGAAAAAGGAAACCCAGAAAGCTATAGGCTTGAAACTCTCAAAGAAGGATGAAGAAGATGAAAAAACAGTACAAAAGGGAAGACTTTACAACAGTAACTGACTTCTGAGAACTCAAGGCTTCGCCATTGCAGAAGGAAGGGATGAACAGAGCTTGCTCCAGAGTGCTGTCTGCTGCTTTACCCTCTCCACCTCAAGGTGAAAATTAATCACAAAAAATTACAGAGAAAAGTTTAGCAAATTTTACTAGTGTTCTTCTGGAATTTCTGCAAGGGAAATGGAATTTAGGGTTTTCCAGGGAAAAGCAAAGAGAAATAAATAAAGTAGGGAGGAAAAAATTAGGAGGGAGAATTAAAAAAATTAAAATTGGAGGAAATATTAAAAAGGTAAAGGACTACTAAAAAGGGATGATTTAATATTGGAATGTGGGAGGTGAAATTTAATTATTAATAAGATATTTTTTTTAATTGCAAAATTCAAAGTATAGATTTTGGTTAATAAAATGGTTTCAGGTCCGCCTTGGAAATTTAATAAGGTCTTTGATCTAATAATAAATTAGGGCAGGCAAATTGAATTAAAAAAGATATTGATTTATTACTGGAATTAGTAAAATATTTATTTAGGGAAAAGAAAAAGGCTATTTTCCATTTTTGAAATTTTCCTATTTAATAAAATTTTATTATTATAAAAGCAAAGCTGTAAAGCAATCCATGCCAATTTTCCAACCACTGACATCTTCTTTGTCTTTTCAGGTAAACTTGAAAGTTTGACTATAAACTTAATGACCCCTGTAATTCTATAAATCTACTGCTAATGCCACTCCCAGCACATTCCTAATCACATTAGGGTTTCTGAATTATTTATTATCAGTTTATCACATTATTGTTTTATGACGATAAAGATGGGAAAATAAATTTCTCAACTAATTTGGTTATAATGGTACAACAGCTATTTACTAGTTTGCTTCAATTGTCCAGCAAAGGGTTTCTCAAAGTGGTTGGAAAGTGATCAGGCAGGCCCTAAGAAAGGCAAAGTTTGGAAGGAAAGAATGCAGATGGGTGTGGGAAGTAAAAGTGTGCTGCTTGTCTAACTGAGCATTTATTGTTATTGACAAAATGAAAGGAACAGTTTTGATCCAAAATTTTTTTTTTTTTTTGAAAGGAACAGCAACTGCCAACACTTCCTCAACAGCACAATCTTTTGCTGCCAATGAAGTCTCTTATGTTCCAGGAAACCACCATCAAATATCAGAACAATCGAGCTAGTATGTTGATGCAATCGGATCGCCCAACCTTGTGTTCCCAGCCATTCGATTCGGCGGCATAAGCCAAACTCTAACAAGCTCATCATCAAAGAAGATCAGTAAAGCATCTATGCACGATTCAACAGCTAGGTACGTACAGGAAGCCATTCAATAATGTCAGCGCGCTTTAATCCCCCCTGTGTGCACAGCACAGCCAAAATCTGGTAAAACAAATCAGCTGAAGATCAGTGATCAGTTGGTCAAAGATGGTCAGCAAACAAAGAAAGACAGTAGGTCATCTGCAGCAGGAAATGGAGCAGCAGATTCAACAAAATAAAGAATGGAACAGCAGATACCTGGGTAAGAATGACAGGCAGAAACTGAAAGACCTATTTGGTACTTTCCTGACATAATATAAAATTCTGAGGTTTTTTTTATTTAAGTCTAAGGAGTAAAGGAAAAGCAAAGTATAGCCCCTAACATGCTAGGCTGCTTGAGCAAGAGATTTCTCATCGGCTCTTCATCCTGCCAAAATTTACCAAAAAATTAGCAGACAGAGATCCCAAAACAATTCTTTCTTGAAAGATAAAGCAACAATGGTGAATCTATTGGGACTGCAGAACAAACATGTTCTCATTTATTGTGAATTCTTCGTGTATACAAAATGCAGAGGCCTCTGTAAGGAGGGGAACACTAGCCACAACAATGCTCTATCTGGTACATCAGCTGGATTCTGATTAAGACTTCCCCTTTTTCTATGGAGAACAAACAAAACAACAAATGAGGTAACACAAGAAAACGGAGGTGAAGGGAGTCTAGGCTACAAAACCTCATTTTCTACAATATAAGTCAAGTCCCGCTGGTTAACTGGTTTCTTCCCATTTCAAGTGGGAACACCTCCTCAAGATGAGGAGCTCCTTTTGCCTTCGTATTCTCTCCTTATAATCTCAAGCACGAGTTCATTCCACGTATCGATTGGACCAGGCATGCACCAGTGCAAGCAATCCTGCATTCGAGTTCGAGGTTTTCCATCGGGGCTAAGAGTCCGGAATGGCCCCGGATGCCCATCATACCGATAACTGAACACTTCAGTAATATCCATCATCACAAACTTTGATTTATTCGACTTTTTCTGGATGCCACGATGAAACCCTGTCATCTGTTTCTCGTGCATTATGTCGGTGTAATCGTTCTTCACCAGCTGTTCAGGCTCCAGAGGTCTCGTGCCAGTGCAGGAGCCACCGCTGTTCCAGGCCCCACCTTCGTAGTGGTCGGGTGAATATGTCCGCAGGATGGTCAACCCAGTGAAATTTGGGTGCGTGGCCATTGAGGCCACAATGGTCTCTACAGATACCCCGAAAGCTTCGATGTTGTTGATTTTGGCTTCCCGAGACTTGTCCGGCCACCACAGCTGTCCTCCCACGATTTCGTTGTTCAACACATATACGGATCGCTTGGCAAACCAGTGACCCGAGGAGAGAACGACAACATCAAAGGTTGGGAAGAATTCCATGAAGTTCTCATCTGGAGAGTCGAGGTGGAGCTTTGTGACGCCCTCCGGAGCAAAGTCTATGGCTTCTGGCGTTTGATGGACGAGCCAGGAGGACCACACTCGGACAATCGTGGTAGACGTCGATCTGAAGTAGTATCGGTGTATTCTTTTGTTCCCTCTTTTATTTGGAACTTCCACCTGGAGATGTAAATATAATGTCAGATTCCAGTCAGTGCGAATAGGCAGATGGCGAGAAAGAAAGTTTACTTGCCTGCCAGAGAAGACAGAGCAATGATTCCATTTGGTTTCGAGCTACTGAATCGCCAATGAAAGCTAGAGTTTTTCCTCTCATCAGTTCAAGGAACTTTTTGGCATCGAATCGAGGGAGTTCACATTGTGATGGTTTCCAACGGTAACTCTCGTACTCCCTATCAGGTCTTCCATTTCCTTGGCAGTTCTGCATCAGTGATATGACTGGGCAGCTACTGTTCGTGTACAAGGGCCCACGTGGATCATAGAACCAAGTTCCCTTGAACAGATCACATCCTGCAGGTCAACAGATTTTGAAGAGATTATGAGCAAAATGAAAATGAAGGCACCAGATCAGCATGAAGTTAGGCCAATGGGAAAAGTCCTCATGTTTTCTTCTTAACAGTAAAGCAAAGAACCAAATGTAAACAGTGTTAGAAACCTGGATTTTGGTTTTTTTTAGTGAATTTTTGGATTATTTTGCTTTTTGGACTATATTGTTGGCTTATTTGAAATTTGGTACTTTGTATACATTTTGGGGAGTTTTGGGAGTTATTTGAGACTTAGGGGATGAAAGTTGCGAATGTTAAATTGTTGTATTGTAATGAATCACCATAATATAAATGCATGTATTGATACAATGAATGCATTTTAACAATACATTGTTTGGTTGTTGAGATTCTACTATATGCATTGATTTACATAAAGTTATTTTTATGGGGAAATGTCACATTTAGCCTCAACATTTAGAATAAAACAAGAACTATTGGGGATTTAATGGAAAGAAAAGCTTGACACAAATCTAAAACCAACAATCACAACAATCTCAACTTTTAGTTGAGATTGTACAATGCATCATTCTTTGTGACTGTTGGTGGGACCTACCTAAAACAATGCATGCATTGTTTAACACTTTAGCACTTCCAATGTCATTGTTTAACACTTTAGCACTTCCAAACATTGTATTGTGCACAATACATGTATTCAACAAACACAGCTCTAACAATCACAACTTCCAAACGACCCCTTAGTAATCCCTAACCAAATCCTCAATTCTACAGCTATCCCCAATTGTGGAACCCTAGAGGGAGACGCTTAGATCCACAGTTCTTACACAGAGACCAAATAGATACATTAATGAAAATGATGGAAAAGGAAAACTTTTCTATGAAGCTCAACCAAAAAGAGAAAAATAGTAATGTTTCAAATCCAGGCAAAATAGCAATTCTAACATCCAAATAACAGATTCGTCCCTGAATGCAGGCATTATCACTTCAAGAAATGACATCTTTAAGAAAAGTTATTCAGCTGATAGTATGAGGCTTTATATAAAGATAGCAATGTGCAACCCCAAAAAGAAGTATCATCTAGTATAATAATCCAATTCATATCTCGGCCGCTCAACCATCATATGACATGCACATAACATTGAGTTGAAAAGATATTCAGATTATGCGACTGGAGAGAGGTGTACCTGAATCATCTGAACCAGTCGTTGTATTAACCTCTTGGCTAGCTGCATCAGATGTTTCTCCCCTACTCTTCAATTTGGGATCTGGACCAGATGGGACAGAGCTAGCCTCTGCAGCCTTTGCACCTTTGGTGACTTCTTCATTTACACTAGCAGGATTCTTGATACCTAAATCCTTCACATCAGCGAGGCGATCATTCTTCTGTTTCATTTCCTTATTACCAGCTGGAACTTGCACATGGCCATCTTTGTTCATGGAATTCTCTCTTGGTTCTTTATTACTATTTGGAACTTCCACGTTTGACTCCGACCCAGATGGCAAAGAATACCTCACACCCTCACTTATACTACCGTTAACACCGCTCAAACTCGTGGTAAAATTAAACCCAGATGGTTGGCTCTTGTTATCACCAGAGTCTACATTACTATAACTATCTGTTTGATCCTGTGGCATCACTGGAGGAAGAATCACTTTTGGTGTATCAAGCTTGTAAAAGTATCCCTGAACTGTACAAGACAACGGATTCGAGACCAAAAGCAATGAAGCTAGGAACAAAAACACAGCAAGGCCCGCCCCTGATGCAGTAATGTAAGCAAGGGATTGTGGGAATGCAGCAGAAGCTGCCATGGTGACAGAGACTTTCGGCAAACCCGAAGTCATTGTTGCATTTGCTAATCCAGAAGAAAACTTACGCAAACGGGGAAAGAAAAATCTCCCATTCGGTTGCTTCTGAAATGGACCAAACAACAAACCAGAAAATCACTCGATCCCCTTTATATTTAATTGGATCAAAGCTTCGAACTTTTCTCGATTAATGAACAAGAGATTAAAAATTGTCTCCCCTCTCGTCCTGGCCCTGAAAAGGAAAGACAAATCCCACTACAGTTAGTGAAATGGTGATCTAGAAGACAGTAAACTCAACCCCTAAGACTTGGCATAAAAGCAAAACCCAATTCCAAGCTCAAAAGAGGAGTCTGCGAAATTGATCATTCCAGACAATAACAGAAACCGCCATTTTCTGGTTCTGAAACCCATAGGCTGCACCGGCGGGGGAAAGGAAAAGAAGTTATTTACATGGAAATTCACGAATTGGGGGTTCGAAATTCTTCACCTGGGAATTGGGGAGACTGCAAATGTGGATTTGCATATACGGTGGCTTCCATGCGTCGGCCGGCGAGCTTCGAAGACGGAAACCGAGAGACTTCTGTCTTGGATCGGGGGGAAGGAGAGAGAGGTTTTAACGGAACTCTGCGAGAAGCTGTGGGAGAGACGATAAATGGCGGCCATCCTGCCGAGTTTTCCCGATCTTGTGCTCGTTTTCAAAATTTAAGAGCCGGACGCCTTTGTCTTGAACTCTTGATTTGATGCGTCGGGGAATTGTTTAAAAAATGGGGATATAAGAGGCCTCTCTTCTTTTTCACAGGAGAGTGAGAGAGAGCGACTCCGTGGTATCGAGGTGGCGTAGTTAGGTGGAAGAGGAGGATTCCAATTTTTTTTTTTGGATAAATACAATTTAATATCCAAACCTTTCATTTTAAACAATATAATAGCCAAACCTTTTAAAAAACAATCTAATATCCAAATCGTCAACTTTCCGTTCGTTTGACCGTTAGTTGACATTTCAAAAAAGTTTGAAGTACGACGCTTCATCAATATCTTCTCTGAAAAACCACCAAAATATCGTGGTTCCAAACCCGAGAAGTCCATGACTCCACCATGATGGTATAGAATATCTAAATATTCAGTCATCTGCAATGCCAAAACAAGAAGAAAAAAAAAGTAGTATTGTGACAATTTCCCCTAAACAAAGCTTTTTTGAAGTGTCAACCAACGGTCAAACGGACGGAAAGTTGACAATTTGGATATTAGATTGTTTTCGAAAAGGTTTGGCTATTATATTGTTTAAAATGAAAGGTTTGGATATTAAATTGTATTTACCCTTTTTTTTAAGCAACCAAATCAAAGATATCAAAGTTTACAATAAAAAAAAACCACCGATCAAAATCAAAACTCGCAACAACAGCAGATAACAAAGAGAGGGTCTTCCTGGCTACATCATGAGCCACCCGATTGTCATTCCTGCCAACAAAAGAAACACCAAAAGTCCGATAGTGCCTCCGCAAGTATGCGCCCTCCCTTCAAATCCCGAGCATCCCGACGCTGAATCTTCTCAATCACCCTCTTGGCATCCCCATAAAACCAAACTTCATCAATCCCCTTCCCTAAGCACCACTGGATAGCGTCTCGAAATGCCACTAACTCCACTAGAAAAGGATCAACAATACCTGCATAATAAAACCCCTTGACCATACACACCCGCCCCATGCCATCGCGAACAACCAAGCCCCCCGCACCATGAGATCCCGGCGCAACCGCCCCATCCACATGACAGGAAAACGGTAACGCCAGCTGCGACTGGGCCGGACCCCATCCAATCTAAATATGGTGCTAAGAGGGTTTTTTTTGTTAGGAGCAAGGTTGTCAGCCCGTGGGTTGACCCACATTGACCCTGACCCGGTGAGAAAAACGGGCCGCACGCATTTCCCAAATCGTGTCATTTTTTTCTTTGTTTTGCGAAATGCGCCTATTTTCCGATTTTTCTTTTCGCCTAACTAAATCTTTGGAATCTTAAGTTGAACATTTGAATATTAATGTTATATAAGTGTGTGTGAATTTTGACTATATGTTGAATCTAAGTACGAAATGTTATTTTGGTGTAATATTATATGTTATAACTCATATGTTAGATGAGATTTGATATAATTTATCAGGATAAGTACAATATAATGACGCTTTCCATATTTCCGGGCTAAAATGGGTGACCCATTAACCCTTGACCTCAACCGGGTCCGGGTCAACCCGCGGGTTGACAACCTTGGTTAGGAGCAACTCATAAGGTTGGATGGCTGGCCATGTCGCATAGTCGTGATCCGACGGTGGAGGACGACTGGTGCAGGTGTGTGAGGGGAGGAGAGCCGAGGGACACCGCTAGTCCAAGCCGAGGTGGTTTTGGACGAAAAAGCGGGGCCCACTACAAAAAATCCCAAAAATTATTTTCCCAAATCCCTCTTCTCTACCCTCACTTCGCCGGTTCCATTATTCTATCTCTCCAAAAGTCGACAAACTTTCTCTCTCGCTTCCTCTCCCCTTCCTCTCACGATATCGACGACGGTGACGAGTGCTGTGAGGAACAGGTGCACTTGAGCGAAGGCGTGATAGATAGAATCTCGTCCAATAGCACGCGCAACTTGGTTTAGAATGCTAGGACACACACTTTATCTTGCTTAAGTGAGTTTATTGTCCGCTTGAGTTCATATAAACGTGTCACGCTTCACTGACCGAAACGAAATTGTAAGTCGACCCATATTTCCCACTCTGTGGTTGCGAACCGCACACTGCTACGAACCTACTTTGTCATGGAGGTTTTTAGCCAACCCTTGACCATGTCGTTGCATTGCTAAAATGTCTCGGCTTCTACCGGAGATTGTGCCGGAGGAAGGCTTCCATCCACGAAGCAAAGCTTATTCTTTGCGATGAGGGAATCAGTGAAATCAACTACCCATTCACCAAAACTGACGTCGTTGAGTAACTCGCTCACATATAGATGATTGGGGTTGTCAGACTGATGAAGAAGGAGATGCAGCGGTAGTGTCATCGATGAGGAGGCCGCGAACTTTGACTCTAACTTTGAAGTCTTGGATTATTGCTCGTTGTTGGACATAATGAAAAGCTAGGTCAGATCAAACCAGCTTTGATACTATGTAAAATACGATAATAAGATTGAAAGAAGATGAACATGACATGAGATTTATGTGGTTTCCCCGCACGTTGTGAACGAGACTAGTCCACTGAGATCTTGAGGCTCTCGGGCTGTATTCTTATGTCTCTTATTCTTAGTTCTCGGTAGCTCTAGCCGCACACATATAACCTTAACTCTCCTAAACACATGCAACGTGGAGAGAGTGAAAATTACAAAGTGATCCCTAAATTAAACAGGCCAACATTTAGAGATCATTACAATTAATATGATTTTTCTACGAAAATAAATTATACTTCGATTTACAACAGTTGAGCTATGCTCCAGTGAGAATGGAGGGAAGTATTATGCATATATCCAGTTAATACACCTAATATGCTCTCGTTTTTAATGGTAATATATTGCGGCCAACAATTTGAGTTTGTTTGGATAATTGGAGTTTAAATCTCTAGATTATAAACAATCAAAAGATTTTAACTCTTCAGATTGTTGAATTTTTTTAAAATTATCATTGTTTGGTAACTACGACTATTAATATTCCACATAATTAAATAAAAAATTTAATTTTCTTATTAAATGACAAGTTTACCCTTAATCAAACGAATCAGTGGACTGGAAAGTATTAAAAATTCATTGGTAACAGCGTTTAGTGGGATAAATAAATAAAAAAGAAATAATAGAAGACAAAATAACGAATATCAAGATATAGAAGGAGAACATCAAGATCCATGGTTTCTAGAAGTTGCAACTTGCAACATAAGCGAGGTCTTCTTAATTATGATCTTATCTAACTATTAGACTTTCAAGTTGTTTAAAAAGAACATAGTGAGTTTTGAAAGTTTGGGGACTTGGTGTATGTTGGGATAGCGAAGGAGTCAGAGAGAGGTGAAGAAGGCCAAACCTCAAAATCGGAGGCATAGCGCTTCCGTGCGGCAGTTTAGGATTTCTAATTACCATTTTTTTAGTGTGATAACAGAATCTCCTGAATCTTTCCAGGTTACATATCTGAAACTAATTCTCGTCGGTTATTGCGACGATGTTATCCCATTATTGGGTTTGGCCTGCTTTATGCGGCAATAAGAACTCTTACATACAAGGGGGAAAATCCTCAAATGCCTAAGTTTGAAAATAAAATTCCCATAATACCACACTTTAGAAAAAAATTCCCAAAATGCCCAAGACGTGGATCGCATCATAGACAGGAGATGGACCACACGTGGAGGGCATCACACGGTCTCCAAGCGAACCACGACGATTGGCGTCAAGGGGAGGGCGCGGATCGCTGAGATGGCGCGCGCACAAACGTTGGATCATCGTTCAGTAGTGCGATCAACTTGGTTCGCTCCTCTACCTATCGAACCACTTCAATCCAACACAACTATAAATACCCCCCCCCCCCCTCCATCCCAAACCACACCACTCCACCTTCTCTTATCCCTCTTCTTTCCACAACTAAAGGAAAGGAAAATGCTCTGAGGTTGCGGCTTATTTTGATCTTCCTGTCGTTGTTATCCGATTCAACTATAGCAAATGCAAGCGGAAAGACTTGTCTGATGCCATCAACATTTGTGGCGATCAGTAGACTGAGTAGAGTACACATGTATTTTCCAGTCAGAAAGGTCCCATCTACTTGAATTACCAGCAAGCAGTGTTTGAAACCATCAATGCATGGTTTGAATGCCCAAACAGTCAATCAAACACTCGTTTTCTCCCTTGTATATAATCTTCATATTTTGGCACGAAAACACTACCAGTCAGGGTAGATAAGCATATGAACCAACCCAATCACCATAGACCTCCGCCATCCTTTTGATTTCCATGCCATGCTTTCTTGTACCTGATGGTGTAGCCATGACAATTCTTCACCTCAGCAATGACAATTCTTTCAACGCATCCATAACATTTGGCTTTCCTCCAAATGTTTGCCCAACCACAAAACCTGCATTAGGACTCCAGATGGGTACATGATGATAGTCTGAATCGTCGTTCTGAGCATAGAGATGATGTTGTGGCACCATCGTGTAGTGAGCTGTGGGAGGCTCGAATACTCCCTCATTGAAATCATCATCATCACCTTCATCATCTTCACTACTCACAGACGCCAAATCTTCCATATTAGTTTCCTCACTTGTGGGGGAGGAGTTGCCTTATCCCCACAATGATCATCATTCCTAGCGGATCCTTGAGTGGATGAAGACAATTAATATGAGTTGTAACGACATAAGCGACGGTGTTGGGTGATAGGATAACTAGACTATGATACCATTTGATGAAAGAGAGGATCTTGGTATCCATGATTGATTAACATAAAGATATAATTAGAGGAGAATTGGACAAAAATAAGGAAAATAAATAGACTATGATATAATAAATAATTAGAGGAGATCAAACTATATAATTTAGAGAGCCCATAAGAGACTTGATAAATCCAAGAAGATGTAGAACAAGTATGGAGAGAACAAAATTAAGAGCATTAGAGAGGAAGAACAGAGAGAGGTTTCAGATAATTGATAAGGTAAATCTGTTGTTCTTCTTTAGTAATTTAATTGAATGAATAAAGTACACTTTTGTTCGTGGATATAAGGATGTTGATGGGGAAGCAATCTCAAATAAGTTCCAAAAAAATTGCATTCATTTTGATATCGAGGTAAATCTAAATGCAGTTTGATAAAGTTTTTATATGTCACTTCCCTTACACATGTTCTTTTTTTTACTCTTGATAAAAATTTTGGACGATAATCCGTTAGGATGTCATTAAAAAAAGTTATGATAGATGTATATTTCTTTTTGATTTTTTTGGTGATGAAATACTTTAAATTATTTTATAAACCCTACAAAAATGTCATGTCTCCTACAATTATAACTTTTGTTTAAGTTATTGACCAAATGAATCCGACCATCGGATCGGGCCCTACTCTAGTTACTAATAATGTTATTAATATTTCCGTTAAGTTCTTCAGACAATGCATTAAGGTCATTCTTCTCACAATGGTATCCCTACAAATTCGTGAAGTTAATTGTCTCAATTGATGCCTCGTGTACTAGGGTTGTACATGGGTCGGATGATCGGGATTTTAACCATTTTAATCACCCGACCCATACACTACGATATGGGAAATATTAAACCCAAACCCACCCGAAAAAATTAAAATCCCACGGTTTGTTTAGAATTGGGTTGGGACGTGTTGGCGATATTTTTAAGTAAAACCCCAACACAAAATATGTAATTATTTTACACCATAAAAATATTTTGTAACTAATTAAAATTTCAAACGAATAAACCGAGGTGAAAGGTATCAAAATTCATAAATGTTGTATAATTTTAATAAAATGTTATTTACTTCAACATATGTCTAGTTTTTTGCACGATATTTGTTGAAAATAGCTAAAAATGTTATAAACGAACACATCTATAATATGTTATTCTATTAATTAAAATTGTACACAAGAAAAAGAATTACGTGAATCATAGCTATATTAAATCAATGTCTAAATTTTAAGCAGAAGAATGCATTAGATTAGGGAGACCATGAGAGAAAAACATGACGAAATATCTTAATTTTCTCATAAGTATGGCTATATATGACATACATATTTTTGGTTACGAACTCATACTAATAGTTGGAACACGGGTAGGGTCGGGTTCTACGGGGTGTGTAATCCAAAATCCAAACCCAACCCAAAAGAGACGGGTTGTACAAAAGAAAACCCTCACCCAACCCAAAACCATAGTTTTAGTGATAAATACGGGTTGGGTTTGGGTCGGGTTGGACGGGTGGGTTGGTTTGCGGGTGTGTTTGTTCACCCCTACTGTGTACTAGCGACATCAAGAGAACATTGAACACTTATTCTTCATATGCCCCCTAGCCACCAAGTTGTGGACCTTCGTGGGATTGAACAACTTCATTGATTCCGCCCCGACTGTTATTTTTAGTCTACAGTGGTAACATGTCATGATCTCTGAGATCTCACCATTCCACATTCTCCAACATGTCTGACTACTTTGGAGTATCTGGAAGTCTAAAAATAAAGTGATTTTTGAATTCTACCAACCTCATGTCCGTTCCGTCGCCAAACAATTCTATAACCAGGTCCTTAAACTCTCCAATATTCACCCCCTTCCCCGCCCCCAGATCGCTCCTCCCAATCCTCCTCCAACCGCTTGGAAGCCTCCACCAGATGTCTATTTGAAGATCAACTTCGATGCAGCTGTCTGTGACTCAGGGTGCTCGTTTGATCTTGTTGTCCGTGGGTCAGACGTGCATGTGATGCTGGCAGCCGATATGCGTCACCAGAGAGTAGTCAACCCTTACCTGGCAGAGCTCCTAGCAGTAAGAGATGTTATCATCTTCGTCGCCTCAAGATCATTGACTCATGTGATAGTGGAAGGTGGTTCCGGTGTGGTCAACCAGATTCGACAAGGTGTTCTAGAAGATTCCTTTGGAGGCCTGGTGCTCCGAGAGTGTTGTCAGATCCTAGACTCTTTGTCAGTTTGTAACTTTGTATAGAGTTAAGGACGGTTCATAGAGCCGCCAACAGTGCTGCCCATCGAGTGACGCGTAAAACACTGATGTTGTCTCTCCTAGAGTTAGAGTCTATCGACTTTTTTGGGTGGCTTCACTAGGGTATTGCTTGTAGGGGATTTCTGGATAGTTTTGTTTGTTTAACTCTTATTTATTCTTGATATCACTCGAAAATAATACTAAAAAAATATAGAATCTATGAATATAAATCTCTAAATTTTAAAAATTTGAAATATCTGAAACTAAAATTCACAATACAAAAATAATAAAAAATATAACTTTCTGTTGAATCAACTACCCATCCACCATAATTCTACTTTTAACGTTTTCTCTCCAAACGAGTTCTTATTATATCACTCGTGACGAAAGAGAAGTCACTTGTTAGAAGCTAGTAATAGTGTAACACACAAAGAAAACTCTTAACTGGGGCAGAGCTAGCTCAGCCGATAGGGAGTCGCCATGGACAACAGACAGGCAGTTGAGACTAAAGAACGATACCCAAAAGGCAAATGGTCCGAGGGATTTATAATCACATTTCCATACTCAAATTGGAGTTTCCAAATTTCAAGGCACAGAGCAACCATATGCAGTCTTGTTGTTGTAGCAGCATAACGTCAATCACCAAAAATAACATCCCAGTTACCAGAGTAGACAGACGGCCAAAATGGTGATCACTGCCTGGATCCTAGAGTTTACAATTCACACTACTAATCACAAACATACCTATAATGGTCTTATAGACAGTAAAGAAACACAGTGTAGTATATGAGTTCCTTCATTCTCTAATGGAAGCAACCACCAGTACTGCCATCCGGAGTTCATTCCATAACATGGTAGGACAAACTCAAGTGTAGTATATGAGTTTCTTCCTAGTAAAGCCAAGCGAAGTATATAGCCCCTACCATGCTAGGCAGATGGGCCAAGAGATTTCTCATCGACTCTTCCTCCTGCCAAAAGTTCTAGCAGACAGATCCCCAAAACCATTATTTCTTGAAAGATAAAGCAACAATAGTGAATCTCTTGGAACTGTTGAACAAGCATGTTCTCGTATATTGTGAATCTGTCGTGTATACAAAATGCAGAGGCCCTTTAACTTGTAAGGAGGTAACACTAGCCACAACAATACCCTATCTGGTACAGCAGCTGAATTCTGATTAAGATTTCCCTTCTATGGAGAACAAAGAGAATAACAAAATGAGGTAACAAAAGAAAACAGAGGTGAAGGGAGTTACCTAGTCAGCAAAACCTCATTTAAAAATATAAGTCAAGTCCCGCTGGTTAACTGGCCTCTTCCACTTTGAATTAAGATCAACTCCTCAAGATGAGGAGCTCTTTTTGCCTTCATATTCTCTCCTTATAATCTCGAGCACGAGTTCATTCCACGTATCGACTGGACCAGGCATGCACCAGTGCAAGCAATCCTGCGGGGGAGGTTTTCCATCGGAGCCAAACTGAGTTCTCTTGTTCGGATCAAGACTCCGGAATGGCCCCGGATGCCCATCATGCCGATAACTGAACACTCCAGTAATATCCATCATCACAAACTTTGATTTGTTTGACTTCTTCTGGATGCCACGAAGGAACCCTGTCATCTGTTTCTCGTGCATTTTGTCAATATTACCGTTCTTCACCATCTGTTTGGGCTCCAGAGGCCTCGTCTTCCCGGTGCAAGAGCCACCGGTATCCCAGGCCCCGCCTTCATAATGGGAGGGTGAATATGACCGCAGGATGGCCAACCCGGTGAAATTTGGGTGTGTGACCATTGATGCCACAATGTTCTCTACAGATACCCCGAAAGCTTCGATGTTGTTGATTTTGGCTTCCCGAGACTTGTCCGGCCACCACAGCCGTCCTCCCACTATTTCATTGTTCAACACATAGACGGATTGCTTAGCGAACCAGTGACCCGAGGAGAGAACAACAACATCGAAGGTTGGGACGAATTCCATGAAGTTCTCGTCTGGAGTGTCAAGGTGGACCTTTGTGACGCCCTCCGGCGCAAAGTCTATGGCTTCTGGTGTTTGATGGACGAGCCATGAAGACCACATTCGAACAATCTTGGTAGATGTCGATCTGAAGTAGTATCGGTGCATTCTTCTGTTCCCTTGGTTTCTTGGAACTTCCACCTGAAGAGGTAAAAAATAATGTCAGATTCCACTACCAGTCTATGCAGATGGCGAGAGAAATAGTTTTACTTGCCTGCCAGAGAAGACAGAGCAACGATTCCATTTGGTTTCGAGCTACTGAATCGCCAATGAAGGCTATAGTTTTTCCTCTCATCAGTTCAAGGAACTTTTTGGCGTCGAAGCGAGGGAGGTCGCATTGTGATGGTTTCCAACGATAACTCTCGTACTCCCTATCAGGTCTTCCATTTCCTTGGCAGTTCTGCATCCGTGTAATGACTGGGCAGCTATTGTTCGTGTACATGGGCCCAAGCGGATCATAGAACCAAGTTCCCTTGAATAGATCACATCCTGCAGGTCAACAGATTATGAAGAGATTATGAGCTAAATGAAAATGAAGGGGAAAGCAATGAACCAACTATAAATACAGACTGAATAGAAGACATTAATGAAAATTACGAAAATGCAAAGCTTTTCTGTGAAGCTCAGCCAAAAAGAGAAAAATAGTAAAGTTCCAAATCCAGTCAAGAAATAACATCTTGAAGGGAACCAAATATACATACAGACTGAATAGAAGACATAATAATTACGAAAAAGCAACTGTGAAGCTCAACAAAAAAAGAAAAGAAAAATAGAAATGTTCCAAATCCAGTCAAGAAATAACATCTTGAAGGAAAAGTTATTCAGTTGACAGTATGAGGGAGGCTTTAAATAAAGATAGCAATGTGCAACCCCAAAGAGAAGTAACATCTAGAGTTTATTCATACCACCTATGTCAGATAAACAAGACAGAAATGAAGGGAATGAACTAAATGGAAGTGAGCAAGTTCAGTTTAATAATTCAATCCGTATCTCGTTCGCTCAACAATCATATGACATGCACGTACCATGGAGTTGAAGGGACATTCAGATAATACGACTGGAGAGAAGTGTACCTGAATCATCTGAACCAGTCGTTGTAGGAACCTCTTGGCTGGCTGCATATGATGTTTCTCCCCCACTCTTCAATTTGGGATCTGAACCAGATGGGACAGAGCTCGCCACTGCAACCTTTGCACCCTTGGCTACTTCTTCATCTACACTAGCAGGATTCTTGATACCTAAATCCTTCACATCAGCGACACCATCGTTCTTCTGGGGCTCCTTCATTTCCGTATTACCAGCTGGAACTTGCACGTGACCATCTTTCTTCATGGAATCCTCTCTCAGTTCTTTATTACTATTTGGAACTTCCACATTTGATTCCGAGCCAGATGGCAAAGAATACCTCACACCCTCGCTTACATTACCATTAATACCGCTCAAACTCGTGGATTTTAATTCAAAATCAGACCCAGATGGCAGGCTCTTATTATCACCAGCGTCTACATTAGTATGAGTATCTGTTTGATTCTTTGGAATCGCTGCAGGAAGAATCACTTTCAGTGTATCAGCCTTGTAAAAGTATTCCTGAACTGTAGAAGATAACGGATTCGAGACCAAAAGCAATGAAGATAGGAACAGAAACACAGCAAGGCCCGCCACTGATGCAGTAATGTAAGCAAGGGATTGTGGGAATGCAGCAGAAGCTGCCATGGTGACAGAGCCTTACGGCCAATCCGAAGTCATTGTTGCATTTGCTAATCCAGAAGAAAACTTGCGCAAATGGGGAAAGCAAAATCCCCCATTCGGTTGCTTCTGAAATGGACCTATCAACAAACCAGAAAACCGTTCGACCTCCTTATATTTAATTGGATCCAAGCTTCGAACTCCTCTAGATTAATGAACACGAGATCAAAAATTGTCTCCCTTCTCGTCCCGGGCCTGAAAAGGAAAAGAAAAATCCCACCCATTTAATGAAATGACGAACTAGAACAGAGTAAATTCAATTCCTAAGATTTGAGATAATAGCAAAAACCAAGTACAAGCTCAAAAGAGGAATCTGCAAAATTGATCATTCCCAGACAGTAACAGAAAACGCCATTTCCTGGGTCTGAAACCCCTAGACTACTCCGGCCGTCCGGCGGGGAAAGGAAAAGAAGTTATTTACATGGAAATTCACGAATTGGGGGATCGAAATTCTTCACCTGGGAAACAGGTAAACTGCAGATGTGGATTTGCATATACGTTAGCTTCCGTGCGTCGGCCGGCGAGCTTCGAAGACGGAAACCGAGAGACGTCTGTATTGGATCGTGGGGGAGGAGAGAGGGGTTTTAACGGAACTTTGTGAGGAGCTCTGGGAGAGACGATAAATGGCGGCGATGTGGCCGAGTTTCCCCATCTTGCCGGATTTCCCCATCGTGTGCTCTTTCGTGGGAGAGTGAGAGAGAGCGACTCCATGGGAGCGAGGTGCTGCAGCCTGCAGTTATATTTCTGCTTGCGAGATCCTTTCAAGTAGGGATGGTAGGGTCGATTACTATTTTTTTTTTTTTTTAACCTAGCAAAATTCCTACATATCACTTGAGTGATAACAGAGCGAGAACAAATTTGGGGTTCACTTGTTTGGAAAAGATTAATATGCTAACAAGCTTTTTGGTTTAGTACATATCAAGGTTGTCAACGGACACAGAACCGGTCGAGCTAGTGGGTTAAGGATTAATGGGCCATTCGGTTTAGTCTGCTTTAGCCCGGAAATGTGGAAAGAGTCATTATATTATACTTATCTTGATAAATTATATCAAATTCATCTAACATATGAGTTATAACATATAATATTACACCAAAATAATATGTCGTACTTAGATCCAACATATAGTGAAACTTCACACACTTATATAACGTCAATATTCAAGTGTTCAACTTAGGATTCCAAAGTTTGAGTTAGGCGGAAAAAAATCGGAAAATAGGCGCATTTCGCAAACCAAAGAAAAAAAATGACACAATTTGACCTCCAACCCGGTACCTTGTAGCGGTCGACCCGACGGGTGCATGCGACCCGTTTTTCTCACTGGGTTAGAGTCAAATTGGGTCGACCCACGGGTTGACAACCTTAGTATATACTCATAAAGCAAGATTGCTGGTCACATCCCACATAGTCAAAGCTAAGATCCAAAGGGTTTTAGCTCAATGACTTAAGGAATGACTCATCGAAGTGGATTTTGGTGACTTCTTGGCTAAGAGCCAAGCCAGCCCAGAAAATTAGTATCCAAAATGTACAAAATTAGTATCCAAAATGAAAATACTAGTATCAATATGTGTTGAGAAATCATCTCTCTTTTTATTTTGAAATTATGCTCTCCTTTCTCCCTAGAAATTTCGATATGATTTGTTCTTGCTCATCTTTGGATCACTGGAGCTTGGAGTGTCTCAAATTGAGATATGATATTGAAGGTTTTGTTCCTTGTGGTAGGTTTTTCCTCTCTGCAATTGTTCTATTTTTTTGAATTTTTTTGTCTTTCTCGATTTTTTTTTCTTCTTACGTTTCTGAGTTTTTTTCCTTGCCTTTCTGGGTATTTTTGGTTTCTTGGTTTTCTGTTTTTTTTAGATCATTGCTATTTAATGTCATGGATACTAGTTCATAAATGTGTTTTTTTTCTTCTTGTGAATACTAGTTTTATGCAGTATGGATACTCATCTATGTTATATGGATATCAGTTCGTGAATGGATTGTTTTCATGCTGGATATCATTTAGCAAACCTTAAATACTAGTTGGTTTGAATATGAATATTAGTTCGTAATTGATTGACTGAATACTAATTATGTGATGTATGGATACTATTCTGTGTTGTCTGGATATTAGTTCATGAATGCGGAATATGGTGGATATAAGTTAGTGTTGAATATAGATGATATGATTGTGGATATTAGTTGGTAATTGATTGCCTAAATATTAATTATGTGAGTTGGATACTAGTTTTGTGATGTTTGGATACTTGACAGTGCTCTCTAGATACTAGAATGTGCTCTCATGTATACTTTAGTACTTGTTTTCGTGTTGGATATCATTTAGCAAACATTGAATACTAGTTCATTTGAATATAGATATTAATTTGTAAATGATTAGTTGAATAATAATCATTTGATGTATGGATACCATTATGTGTTGTCTGAATATTAGTTCGTGAACATGGAATATGGTGGATATCAGTTAGCAAACTTTGAATAGTAGTTGGTTTGATTGTAGATATTGGTTGGTAACTGATTAGCTGAATACTAATTCTATGAGTTGGATACTAGTTTTTTGCTCTCATGTATACCTTAGTACGACTTCATAAAAGCAGTATGCTTGGCTACTAGTTCTTGCATTTTGGATATTAGTTTTTCTCGGCTGGATACGAGTTCTCTCTGATGGCTTGGCTCACAGCCGAAAAGCTACCAAAATCCACTTAAATGAGCCCTTTCTTGAGCCATTGAGTACGAGCCTTTGGATCTTGACTTTGTCCATGTGGCCTACCATCTCACCCTATGAGTATATACTCACTAAAAGGGTTGTTAGTAGAATAGCTAAGTTGCACCTGCTTGAGCCCTTCGCGCCCTCCACGCAGATCTCTATTAAATGCCTCCAGGAACACCATAGCGGGCCTCGGTGAGGGTTGAATATGAGATCTGTCACTTCCCAGAACGAGCGCCCGTGAAGGATTTCATCGCTAGGCCATTTGACCTTTGGTATAGGGTCTAGTACTTCATACTCATTATCCTACTCTAATTGTATTCATAGTTATATAAGAATCAGGTAGAATGTAAAAATCATAGGCATATTTAATAGGATTTTGGGTATTCACGGTATTCATGATTCATGAATAATAAATTATTTATAACTTTCAGAACAATTACACATATGCAGACATTTGAGGAGAGAAAAAATTACAACAATTAATATGAAGGCGAAGAAAATTAGTTAAAACTTCTACTATTTTACATTAAACATGCCTAGTGGCGTAGCCAGACTTTGAGGTTATTGGGTCATTAAAAATTTAAAAATTGTAAAGCTTGTGACTCTAATGAACTTTGAATTGATTGATGTCATTAGGCGAGCTAATATCGACGAGAGTCTGTGATACTAAACTTGAAAACTCATACTAAAATCTATGTATATAAAGGCCAAGTGGGGTTCTAGGACCCTCTCCTCTATACCACCCTTTGCCACTGAACATGCTCCTTCATTTATGAAAAATGATATATTTTTTTATGAAATTTAGGAAAAATGATTAAACTTGTTCTTTTGTTACAATTTTCATTAAAAAACTGTCAACAATGATCAAACTTTGGTTTGGGTGACATAAATGTCTAAAATATCTCTAATAAATTCACTTTAGTATTTTTGTTTCTTTTGTATAGCCCAATATCTCTAATAATTTCACATTAATGAGATTTAGAGAAATAAATGAAGATGCAAACCGACATTTTCCCTCTCATTTTGCCGATGTAAATTCGTATTCATCTCGGTTCAACCATGATTGACGATTTTTCGGATGGAAATTTTAACAAAAAAAATGAGTTTGATCATTTTTTCAAACTACAATGAAATGTTGGTGTAAAAATAGTAGATGCCATGTTTGATAAAAACAACATAGTTTAGTGCATATTATAACTATAATTCATAAAACTCATACAATTTTTTTTGTCATAGATAGGTGTATAAAAATAAAGGTAGGTGTACAATGTAGTATGCTTACAAATATGTAGCAAATTAAATAATCAAATGCGGCGGTCGATAGCTAATCAATCCGCCGATAAAAGAGCCTTTTTAGCCACTAAATGGGCAGCTCTGTCAGTATCCTAAGAAATGCAACAAAGGATACAAGCGGGTATACAACATGCGCCAAAGCCAGAGGATAAGTCATCCTTGCCGATAGCAAAAGCAGAGTATCCATTCCCATTGCCACGTGCATGCAGAACCGCCAACAATTGTGGGCCCGTGCCAACTTTAACTGAGAAGCTTAATGGATGGATTCTTGTATGGTCGAGGGAAAACTAGGTGCCCCTGCAAAACAAACAAACACACAAGCGCCCATACTGTAGGACAACTAAGTTCCACCGAATGGACTTAAACAAGCCATTGAGGCTTAGTCGGATACTCCGAATCCAAAGCTAACAATGTCAAAAGAATAACAATTTTTTTACCATGTAGTTAATGAAAAGTTGCTATATACGAATGGTTAAGGAAAGGAAAAGTAAAAGAGTTTGAAACTATATTAATGGAAATACATAAATAATAAAATTAAGGAGGAAAGTATGGAAAGAATAATTGAAAAACATAAATTGTGAGGATAACTATAAAAGGAACTAGATAAATAATAAGAATAAAGAGGAGAGGGACTACATAACTGAACCGCCGCTAGTGTAGCGTAACCACCACACTTCCTGGAATTGTAACTGGCGGATCTCTTGAGGGTTGCTGTCGTTAGAAAAAACGGTCGTTTTGCCACTCCGGTGACGAACCTCACGTCCGAGCCCAAAACCCAGCCTCCAATCGCGACGCCGTCCGTGCGCAACTTCATCTCCCGCCGCTTCTCCTCCGCCGGCCAGGACTTCTCCCAGTGCCGCCCTTGGATAGAACTCATATAGCGCTCCGCAATCGCTCACCCTGGCCGGACCTTCTCCGAGCGAGAGAGACGCTTGACATTAGTGGGCGGGCTGAAAATCTAAAGTGGCTAAGGACCCCGGACGGTTTCTCTTCCCGTAACCGCTCCGGTCTTCCACGATGGGAATTCTCCCGGAAATCGCCGTCGTTGGAAAGGGCCGTCTCCCGGAAATCTAAAGAGGTGGTGTTGTTGAATCCCAAGTCTCGGCAGATGACGGAGATGGCGCGGAGGTCGGAGCGGTTGAGATGGAGGCTCGCTATACGGAGGAGAAGAGAAAGAAGAGTTGCCAAAACTCATACAATTTCATGAATATATATAAGGGTAATGTCTATTCTTTATCCAAACGTTTTTCAGATTCTTTTATATTATCCAAACCTATTAAAATTCTATTAATTAGCCAAATCTTTCACAATGCATAAAAATATTAGCCATATTTACGTTATAAATATAAAATATGTTGAAAAAAATGACGATTATTTTTTAACAAAATACATATGCACCTGTATAATTGGGCGGGTTCATGTTGAATAGTGAGAAAATTATATCCACCCATCACCAACAATATTCGCGTTCGGGTTTTACCCATACTTATTAAAATTCATTTTTGTTCAAAGTTTAGCCTACCCGATTAGGCTGACGGGTATGATTATTTTTGCCATCTGTACTTTCAAGGTGCCATAAATTTGAATCGAGTGACTCATCCAAGGCATTGTTTGGAAGTTGGATTTCAGATATTTGTCAAGACATGTATTAGAGAAATTTTTTTTTTATCTTAAAATAAAACATAATATTTGTAATGGAACAGAAGATGAGAACACCAAAATCATTCATTATGAACGATTGTCTCATTTTTTTCTTCTTTTCAGGGACCACCAAAACCATTCAACCTATAATAATGTAGTTTTCAAATTCATGCATTCAAACGATACATCTTATTAAAATACATCAATTTAGAGAATTTTAACTAGTTTCTTATGGATACCGCTCTTTGGGTTGGGGCAAAGAAACAACACTCACCCAGGTTAGCATGTGGATCGAAAGACGTTTGTGTGGGTTGATATCGGTTAATTATATATTTTATTTTTTTAATAATTTTATACGTTAAAAATCTACGAGGATCATGACCGTAACAATAATTATTATGTTCTATTTGAATTATTTTTTCAATACAATAATCGAAGCAAGCATTCGATCATCAACATATCAGTTTAGTCCTGCATTAAATCGATCGTCGAGCTAATAAATAACATGAGTGCACCCCATTTCCATTTTTGGGTTGTAATCTAAATATTGAGTATTGGTTATTGCATGATGTTGTCGTCGAGACAACAATTGTAATAAGTACGAGGTAGTGATAGCATTTTGTTATCAGAATTCAGACCCTTGTGATATTATTATAATTATAATTATGCACAAATCAAAACGTCTGTGTCAGGCTGTCAGCAGTTGCTGCGATTTTAACACAAGGATGGAGCTCTTGAAATTGCCGATTTGCCGTGCGTGATGAATGCAATACAACACAACTACTACTAAAGATCAGCATTTTGTCGGCGAGATCCAAACCTGGACAGCGGGCCCTGTGACTTCGAGGCCGAAGTAAAAACAGATGGGCCGGGCTAGTGGGGTCTGACTGGTAAACTATTGCTCCGATCTACTGGGCCATTAAAAGGCGAATAGCAGACCCAACAAAAAATATTATATTCTCTTATATAGCACAATTAATTCAATTTTTATGTATAATAAAAAATTCAAGTTAAAATATTTGAGATATGCTCCATTGAAAACTAACTAGTGTGGGCCCCGGCCAGTTGGCCGGAGGAAGGTAGGATGGCAATGGGTCGGGTTGGGTCGGGTTTTGCCAAATTCAAATCCAAATTCATGGGTTTATCCGTGAAAAAAATTCGGGGTAAAATTCACTGGGTTTGAAAAACTCAAACCCAACTCAACCCCCCTGGGTATCCGCGGGTTCATGGGTACCCACAGGTTTTTGTCTTAAAAAATTTACAATAACAAGTTCCTATCAAAATTAAAGTCAAATATCAATCTCTCAATACAAATTATCCATATATAAAATACCATTCTAGAAAATTCAAGCAAATAACAAATTATCCATAAATAACATGATTAATTGAAAGCTTCTTCCTTTCAATTAAGTTTCTTCACTCTCCACTCGATAACATCAACTTCATTCTACACAATTAGAAAGAAAAAATTAGACATGTCTCCACAAACATAAATAAGATAAGTTGTTTAGAATATTAAATATATCGAGAAAATTAATTATATGGGTGTGGGCGGGTACCCATGGGTCGGGTTTACCTAAACCCAAACCCAACCCAACTCGATGAATATTGAACGGGTTTAAACCCAAACCCGGCCCAAAACCCATCAACACGGATTTTACCCGCGTTGACCGGGTTGGGTCGGGTGGGTACTCGTGGGTTCGGGTTTTGTTGTCATCCCTAGAGGAAGGTGAGGTATGAAATTTGATAATATAATGGGGTGTATAAATTATTGTTGTAAAGTTTTTTTGGGAAACACGTGATAAAAATAGTGAATTTTAGCAGGAAAGAGACATTAATGATGCAACAAATCAAAAATCGGCCTTATGAACCAAAATCAAGTACCTGTTACCTTGTGAAACAATATTGTTTCTGGTAATATGATGAGGTGGAGTAAGTTTTATAGAAACTGAATTCCAGAAAATCGAATAAAAAATCGCCTATCCCGTCGGTTTTCGGAAAATGAGCATCTCACAATCGTTGCTAGCTTTTACTCGGCCCGTTGGCCGATTAATTTGGTTTATAAAACTTTCATCTTGTCGTCATTGTGCTTTCTGGTTTTTTTCAGGCCATGATAAAATCTAAGGAAATCAAGAACGAACAACACGATTTGGGATAGGAACCGTCGTTGTCGTATCCCTAGAAAATGGTGGTAAACACGGACTCACCTGCCAAACTGGTTTGGATTGAGATTTTTATCGGGTATCAGGGAACCATGTGATTATAAATTAGACTCGATCAAAAGGGGCCAAAACTTGAAATGCAGCCTGTTTGACCGACCCATGCCAAATTCTAATTATTCTTTACTTTTAAACTTTTATTTGAAAATAAAAAATAGTGAAATAAAAGAGATGACTGCCATTTGCACATCACTTATTCGGGAATAAAACCATAGAAATTCAAAAGGAACTGAAAATGTTAGGATCGTTTTAATGTTTAAAATAACCAAATAGATCTTTCTGTTTAGTTTTTTACTAACAAATACCAAACGATTCCCTATAAAATACACTATGATTTGATCATTATGATATCAAATAATTATATAATATATATTTGAAATGATAAAAATTGGACTAATTGGGTTGGTCGAGGTTGAACCATTGAATAACTTCAAAATACATTATATTTTAGCCACTAAGATATAAAATAATAACATAATATATTATGCCAGAGAAAATAGCTTGTTTTAGAATGTCAAACCAATGATGTTCATTTGTTTTACTTGATGGCCAAATCCCGTGTAGGTCAAACCAATTCAACTCTTTTATTTTATGGATAGCGGTTAGCCCATTAGATACCATGCATTAGTTTATTGTTAATTTTTTTTATTTTTAGCAATAAAAAGAAGTATTGTTTTTGCCTCTTCATATATATTTTATCACCACGGAGAAATAAAAGGGCTTAATGAAAAAATTGACACTCTTGAACCCGTTTAAATCCGCATGTGTACGGTAAGTTGGCCCGTTCCACAGAGGAAAGAGGAAAAAATTGACACTCCCTATTCTATCATTCCTACAAACGCTCATAGAGCAGGAAATTTGAAATGGGGGAAGGGTTTTTTCCTCTCTACTATTATATCTTTTTAATTTAAAAAGATGCTACAAATGTACTTAGTGTGATTGGTTATGATCCTTATTTTTCCTTAAAATGGTGATGGTTCGAATCCCACTACGTGTCTTTTTAATGAATTAAAAAAAGTAAGTGTGAAGACCAAAATGTCCTTCCTACTTTCACTCTCGTTGCAGGAAATTTGAAATGGGGCTCCCGTTTTTCCCTTCGGTGTATTATATTATGTGTAGATGGCAAGTGGTTATGCAAATTCGGTTATACACCTAATCCGCTCATTTTTAATGGGTAATAATATCGCAATCACCAATCTAATAATTTGCATGGTCACTGATAACTCATGACAAACAAATAGTCACTAATTTCTATCGATGCCAACAGACGAATAAAACATATCTTAAATCTTAACTGGAGCAGAGCTAGCTCAATAGGTAGGGAGTGGCCATGGACAATGGAAATGCAGTTAGTTAAGAAGAATGACACAAAAAGGATTCATAATTACATTTCCAAACTACAGCTGGAGCTTGCAAATTGCAAAGCACAGAGCAACCATAGGCATTCTTGCCCAAGAAGCACAGCGTCGTCAATCACCAAAAGTAACATCCCAAACAGCAAAGTAGATAGACTGCCAAAAGGGTGATCACTGCCTGGATCACAGAGTTCACATTCCTAAATCCTTATATCACAAACATATCTATTATGAGAGCACTTCTACTATGCTATATAGTATTGGTGCTTTAATGTACAACTTAAAGTTGTACCATAACATTAAATGTATAAGTTTAGGTTGTACCATAAAGCAATTTGTACCATTATGTTATGGTACGACTTTACAACTTGAAGTTGTACCATCACATAAAGGTACAAGTTCAAGTTGTACTATAAAAGAATTTGTACACAAAGTATAGGTACAATCTGAAGTTGTACCATAACGTAAATGTACAATTTTAAGTTGTACCATAAAGACAAAACCCTATAGCACCAATACTATATAGCATTGTAAAATTTCTCCTATTACGATCTTATAGACAAAAGAAAGAAGCTCAGTGTATGAGTTTCTTCATCATTCCCTAATGGAACTAACCACCACCAGTACTACCACCCTTCTTCAACACCTACTGCTGCTGCTGCTACTACGATTTCGACAAAGATGCCAAGTTCCGGATTCTAGCTTCATAATCATCCAGGCAAGCATTCTCGTTATCATCCAACCACTCCGAAGCTTCTCTCAGTGCACTCTCGTCGCCCAATACTAGCTTGCTCAAATCGTAAATGCACCTCTCCAAGCGGTTCCTGCCATCAATACGTGCCTTCTCCTTCTTGTCGTGTTCAGCCATGTCTCTTGCCTCTCTTACCATCCTCTCAACCTCACTTACACTCAAATTCCCCTTGTAGCTGGTAATGGTAATGGAGTTAGAATTCTGGGTTGCCTTTTCCTTGGCCGTTGCGCTCAGAATTCCATTTGCATCGACCTCGAACGTCACCTCAATAAACACAGTTTCCCTGTTGAGGATATGCAAGTTTTCCCTCAGTGATTACAGCGTACACGAAGTTTATAATCTTTGAAGCAGCTCAAACTTCCAAATTACTTAAAGATAACCAACAAGATCACCCACATTATAGTATATTCATACAAACCTTGGAGCCGGTGACATGCCTTCTAGACAAAAACTTCCTAGCGGAAGGCAATCCTTCGTCAAAGCTCTTTCACCTTGAAAGACCTGAGATTATGGTTAGCGTGAACTGATGTGATACACCAATAGAATCTGAGTCAAAACTTGAAATATACAAAACGAATGCAAAACTAACATGGAAAGAATACAACCAGTTCATAAAACTTTAATCCATTTACATGGAATCAAAACTAACCTTGAACAACGCAGAAGTTTGCTGGTCATCAGTAGTGGTATACCCGCATGGTGAAATCTTTGTAGGAATGGCTGTGTTTCTTGGGATCACTATTGACATCTCACCACCCTTGATCTCTATCCCCAAACTCAAGGGAGTGATATCATACAATGTAACACCTACACAACTCCAAATACAGAAAATCAATCAATTTGAACAAATGTTGTGTTTACTTACAACTCCAACTAAAGAACCACGATTTCAAGTTCTAGTAGATTGTTAAGTTCCACTTCCATAAGAAAGTCCCAATGCAACAATTAGTGACCAGTTTTCGTAAGATACTACACTAGTAATCTTAAGCAAAACAGCAATATCTAACTTAAACAAGGATGAGATAAGATGGATGTTCTTGAATTGAATACACTTAACATGTGAGCATTACCAAGTCCTGTTTGATCGCTGAGCATGGCTCCTTGAACAGCAGCACCATAAGCCACAGCTTCATCTGGGTTAATCCCTTTGGCGGGTTCCTTCCCGTCGAACGCCTCCTTCAACATTTCCCTCACCCTTGGAATCCTTGTGCTTCCCCCAACCAACACAACCTCTTTAATGTCACATTTGCTCACTTTGGCATCCTCTAATGTCGACTTCACTACATCCATTGTCCTCCTGAACAGATCCAAATTCAGCTCCTCGAATCTAGCCCTCGTCAATGGCTCCGAGAAATCCATCCCCTGAAGCAACGAATCAATCTCCACCCTCACCTGTGTCTGACTGCTCAGAACCCTCTTCGCCCTCTCGCATTCCTTACGCAGCTTCCCTAACGCCTTGCTGTCTCCATTGACATCCCTCATGTACTTCCTCTTTATCATCTTGAGGAAATACTCCATCACTCTGTGGTCGAAATCTCCCCCGCCAAGATGCGTGTCTCCGCCGGTGGCCAGTACCTTGAACTCATCACCGTTGATTTCCAGAACACTGACGTCAAACGTCCCACCGCCCAAATCATACACCAGAATTTTCTTCTTCCCTTTCATACCTTGGTTCACTCCGTACGCTAGGGCACCGGCTGTCGGCTCGTTGATGATACGGGCGACATTGAGCCCGGCAATCGTGCCGGCGTCCTTGGTCGCTTGTCTCTGGGAATCGTTGAAGTAGGCCGGGACGGTGACCACGGCGTTGGTCACGGGCCTTCCGAGGTACGATTCCGCCGTCTCCTTCATATTACCCAAGACCATGGCGCTGATTTCCTCGGGGCTGAAGGCTTTCGACTCCCCGTTCAGCTCCATTTCCACGCACGGCTTCCCGTCCCTGTCGACGACCGGGTAGGGCAAGTAGTTCAAATCGCTCTGGACCTCGGCGTCGCCGAAATTCTTCCCGATGAGTCGCTTGATGTCGAAGATAGTTCGGCGGGCGTTGAGAGTGGCCTGGTTCTTGGCCGAATCGCCGATGAGACGCTCGTAGCCGGCGGCAGCGGAGGTGAAGGCGACGCAGGAAGGGGTGATTCGGTTTCCTTGATCGTTGGCTATGATTTCGATCATGCCGTTGCGAGCTACGGCGACGCAGGAGAAGGTCGTCCCTAGGTCTATTCCGATCACTTCTCCTTTGATCTTTGTCTCCGCCATTTTTTTTCTCTGGTTGTGGAATGGAACTTTGATGCGAGGCGAGGGTTTTCCCGGGTGCCGACTGCCGAGAGCTAACTTCTTAGGTAAGTCTTCTTGACTTGTATTTAAGTAAAGCGCCTTTTTCCTCTTTTTGTTAGCGAATCTCCTGTTTCCCCCTATTTTTAAACTTTTGAATCTTGTTCCCATTTGAACGAGCAAATTAATTGATATTGTCTATTGGTGTGATTTAAAGTCAAATGAATGTGTGTTCAAATTTTATTTGATTAAGGAAATGTATTAATATATCATAGTTGGAAGATTATTACGTGTTTTTTACCTATTGTATCGGCCGGTCGGGCTGAAAATATCGGATATGAGATTCAAAATGGTAGGTGATTTTAGCGGTACAAGACTTTTGAACTATAGTTCAATCACAAATTTAGTACAAAATATCATACTATTAACTTTTTTTATATAATTTTCGATACGATTACACAATTATCAATTTCCCTCTTGTCTATTTTTTTTTGTTTGTCTTTTTCGACCATAATTGTCAGCCTCTTCTTTGTCCTAATTTTTATTTTCTCTTCTCCCCATCGCCAACTAAGAGCATCTCCAACAATGCAATCCTTCTTCACTTTCAAGTGTGGTCCCTACTGCCACCTAAGCAACTCTAGCAATTACTTCACTCATAAATTTCATACTAGCTACATCAATGTCATTCCAATGCAATTGCACTTCTGGGTCCCACTTACATTTTAATACCACACAAATGGTTGGGAAAAGAAGAAAGAAAAACAAAAACAAACAAAGGACCCACTTGCAATTGCATGTCAGATTTTCATGGTGTGCAAATTTTCATCCCTTGAAAGTGCTCTTGCATCAATGCCATCCACTTTTTCAATTGCACATGGCTGCCACCTCAGCTTGCAATTCCCTTCATTTGCACCATTGGAGATGCTCTAAGGATTACCAACAAAAACACAAGAACAAACAAGTCAAACATATTTTTATTTGTCAAATACTGACCACTTAATTAACAAAAAGATTGTTTATCATGGTAATAACTTATAAAAGAAGTTACTATATTTGCTAAGAGTAACTTTGATTTAAAAAAGGTGAGGACACTATGGCATTTATCTTCCAACATGGTAGAGATTTGCCAATTCAAAGAGCCCAAATAAAATTAAAATTATTCCAGTCGAAGGAATTGTATTTCCAATACGGGAGGTTTACCAATTGTATAAATTGGAAGAATTAAGCACTCAAATTGTTGGGCATGTGACTCGGATCTCACCGCGCCTAAGAAACATCCCAACAGCGCTCACGCAAGAGTCAGGCGCGCCAGCTCTGACACGACCGAGAACCGCGCCCGAACACCGAACGACGACGCTTTGGTCAGATGTTGACCTTGACCAGAGACCATGAAAGCGGCGCCGCGTCCATCTCAGAGTAGTCACCATCATAGTCCTAGGTACAGTCATGGGTTAGAGGTCTTTTCCTAAGTAGGGATGTGGCCTATGCTTCTGACATGTCAGCAGTCATGACACCATGCCACCATGTAACTCACCCACCACCATGTAGCCTATAAATATGGCATTTACTCCGGTGGGTGAGGGGATCGGATTTTTTGAGACTGTATCTCTACGAATTACCAACTTCTCTCTCTAAGATATCACCCTCTCAATTCCATTCTCCCTCTCCTTTGTTCTTCCATTCATAGCTGTTCCTCACTGCTTACTCTCCTTGACCCGTTTTCCCGAGCCTCACTCCTACACTCAGTTAGGCTCAAACACAAATCTACTACACAAAGTCGCAAATCATGCCTTAAGATAGACCCCTAAATAAATAGCATTCAACTTTCGTCTGTACTAATTTTTACACTCAAAATTTATCTCTCAAACGTGGGGTAAATATTTAGGGTTAATATTTTCGTATGGCCTGAACTTTAACCAAAATAAACATCCTGGCCAATCTTTTCGATCTATAACATTCTGGCCCGAACTATACACCAAAATAAACAATTTGGCCAGATTCGACTTTTGACCGTCAACTTGGACGGTCAAACGCGTTGACCGTTAGTCAACGCGCCACATCACTGCCAACTCAGCAAGTTTAAACAATTTTTTTTAATTTACACCTATTTCATTTTCTTTTCATTTATCATTTTGACAAAAAAAAAATCGGGACAAAAAGCCCCACCCCGAGCCCTAAACTAAACCCTACCTTATCCATATCTCAACCCCAACCCCATCCCCATCCACAAATTCACCTACCGTCACTCACCTTCTCCTTCCTTCGTCGAAGCTCCTCCATCGACCGACAAAAATCTCCGGTATTCCGTCCTTTTCTGCCACCGTCCTCTCCTCCGCTGCTTGTTTAAAACGTAAATCGAAACCCATTGGGGGAAAGAAAAACAAGATTAAGAGAGGAAGGCCAAAGTCCCCAAATTGATTTGAGTGAGCCAATGTAACGAAGGAAGCACCACCATGAAAAACACGATTTGTGCTTCCCTCAAATCAATTTCCTCTCAGCCATGGCTGCTCCATCTCCCCATCCTCCCGATCTCGAATTCCCAAAATGCCGTCACCACCACCATCGTTCCTTCCGCCGCCGCGTCTGCCCAATCCCAGCCTCGATCGCCACCCCGACCTTCCGCTCCTTCATCAACAAGATCTCCACCGTCCGCAACGGCCTCTCGCAGCGCCGCTCGTGGGCCGAGCTAGCCGATCGATCCGCCGATGCCTCCGCCGCCGCTGCCGCCTCCGCCGCCGTCGAAGGTTTGCAGGAGGCGCTGGGCTATTCTATCCTTCTCTACAACATCTTTGGCGGCCGGAATGGAGGAAGAGAGGAGGAGAGGAGAGGAGACTGGAGAGGAGAGGAAGAAGGGGAAGAATCAGGTTAGGGCTCGGGGTGGGGCGTTTTGTCCCGAATTTTTTTTTTGTCAAAATGATAAATGAAAAGAAACTAGAATAGGTGTAAATTAAAAAAAAATTGTTTAAACTTGCTGAGTTGGCAGTGACGTGGCGCGTTGACTAACGGTCAACGCGTTTGACCGTCCAAGTTGACGGTCAAAAGTCGAATCTGGCCAAATTGTTTATTTTGGTGTATAGTTCGGGCTAGGATGTTATAGATCGAAAAGATTGGTCAGGATGTTTATTTTGGTTAAAGTTCAGGCCATACGAAAATATTAACCCAAATATTTATTAGTATTTTTTTGACCAAAAATAATCATAAATTGATTTGAAAATATATATTAGTATCACAGACCAGTTTAAAAACAATAAAACATAACCTAATTTATCTAAATACAATTTTTTCACATCAATTAGTTAGTAAATTTTTAATTGATTATCTGATACTTAATGTTTGTAGCGTAGTGAGTCTCGTGAACCTCGCAAATCGAACAAGACTTAATATTAGTAGCAAGGACGAAGGCAACATGGAGGAGAGTGGGTCCATGGCACCACCCTTCTTAGCCCCAAAAAATTTACCAATATATATGCAGTCTAATCCATGGGTTAAATTGCATGTCATGCCACTTAAATTTTGACTTGGTTGCACGTTAGCCACTTAGATTTGTTTAGTTGCAACTAAAACACTTAAGTTCAATATTCGTTGCACCGTCACCTTATTCATCTAAAAACTTAACGGCCGGTATGTAAAAGTAATTTTACATGCCACATGGACATTCTAGCGCAGCTTTGGATTGCTCTACTCACATAAGCTGGGCTGCAATGCCTTATTGTTATGCATCTCCTACGACACATCCGAGATTTCGGGCTACGATTTGCCAACTGATGGAAATAGCAACAACCGAATATTAGTCGCGGTGATTTCTCTCGATGAGGATTTTGATTGGAGTAGAGAATCCTTTCCTCTGGCATCGCGATTGAGTATGTTGATACTATGTTTCTCTTGTATTGGAACATGTGACTTTGGCATTGGATGCTATTTATTTTAGCTTCTACAATTGAGTTTTTTTATTTTCTTTCGATGCTTTCAATTTTATCATTGTCCAATGAGCATGAGATTCGAAGTCAATCTCGGCAAGCTCTTGTCTTTCAATCTCGGCAAGCTCTCTTCTTGCTATCTCTACTCTCTCCGAAGCCTTCTCCAACTCATCCATCAACGCTTTGTTCTCTTCTCTCCCCAATAGTCGTCAACTTGCTTGCCCACCATGTCGCTGAGTGCATCCTTCAAATTATCGTCGCCCCTGCATTTCGCGACGACCGATCCGTTGGGAAACGAAGAACTGGGTCGAGAGAAGAGAGGCGACGACGATGGGAATTTGTTGCTTGATAATGAAAAAATCGGCTTGGCCGTGCTCGTTCTTGAAATGACTGGATGATAATACGATTGCACCGCTTGCTTGGCCGCCCTTTTCCCCCCCAGTCTTCGTGGGAAGTAAGCATAAATGGAGAAGGATTGCTCTCGTGTGGGATTGATGACCCTGAAAACTGAAACGTTTCTTTTCTTCCTTGGGAGGAGAATTTGACAAAAGGATGCGACTTTTTCTTTTGTTAATTTGAAGGGGCAATGTTGGGGGTTAATTGCATGCCATGCCACTCAAGTTTAGCTACAGCTTCTGTGAGTCAGCAATTCAAAGTTGTGTAGAATGTCCATGTGGCATGTAAAATTACTTTTTCATACCCGTCGTTAAGTTTTTGGATGGAAAAGATGACGGTGCAACGAACATTGAACTTAAAGTATTTTAGTTGCAATTAAACAAATGTAAGTGATTAACGTGCAACCAAGCCAAAATTCATGCAATTAACCCTCCAATCCATGGTGATCGAAACCTGATAATTTCAACAATTAGCTCACTTGTTTTTAACCAACGAGCTTCACACAGTGACTTATATTGACGAGAGTCGTTAGCAATGGAAGCGAACTGCACACAGCTAACTCGTCAATCCAAATGCCTATTTCTTTAATAAGGCTCGGTCTACCAACGAGCTAGTTGTCCTATCGTCGTTTACGGCCAAAACCCCATTCCATCGGCAAAAATTCCCACCCAAATCCAATTCGTTATCGTCCGCCTCGGTTCCGTCGGCAATGGCCAGTTCCACCCTATCGGCTCTGCCAATTTCGTCGTCGGCAGCAGCCACCACATCGTCCGACAGCCTCCGCCTCGTCCCGTCGTCGCTTTCGCTCCACGGAAATAAGCTACCGATTCGGCGCTTCAGTTCGAGCAGCGTTGTTCTTAAATGGCGTCGTCCGACGGTTGCCAGAATCTCGTCTAGTCTCCCCACGACGTAAGCTTTTTTGGTCTCTGATTCCTCGGCTTCATTGGAAGTTTGGACTACTTGTATATTGTGGAAGGGAATCCTTGTTTAACTTTGGGTTTTGGTGCTTGTTTCGTCGCAGGAAGTATGATCCAGCTAAAGTTCCTAAGTGCGTGCCTAATTGGTTTTTCGAATGAAAGTAACGTTTCTGCTTTCAACTTCTTTGTAAAGCATAACATGGGTGGTGTTTGATTTGAAGAGGTTTGTTTCTCTGTGAGTGGTTCAGATGGTCCGCTAGAGCGATTAGGTCGTTTGGATTTGGGGAATTGGAAGCGAGGAAGCTCAAGTATCCGAATACAGGAACTGAAGCCATCCTAATGGGCATTTTGATTGAAGGTCAGTAAGGCTATTGGAGATCAAAAGTCGACGGCTTTATTTTGTAATGTTACATACACAGTGTTCTGGGTCTTGAGCTTGCCTAACATTTGGTCTGTAACCATAGAGTTCTGAAGGCCTAGTAGTCTTGCTGTATAATTATGAATTGCTTGAATTCTGGTTAGGGAGATGTTGTTGTTTGAGAGAATGGAAGGGTCTGGATCCTGGTTACAGAATTCATGATTTGTTACTGTTTGCAAGTATTTTGATTTACTTTGAAAGTTTACTTCTTGTTTAAGAAATGAAAAACCTGAACTGTAATTTGTTAATTTCAGGAACCAGTTCAGCTGCAAAGTTCCTAAGGGCTAATGGAATCACTTTCTTCAAGGTCAGGCAAGAAATTGTAGACTTGCTTGGGAAATCTGACTTGTTCTTCTTTAGTCCTGAGCATCCACCGTTAACTGAACAGGCCCAAAGGGCCCTTGATAAGGCCATTGAAGAGAAACTAAAGTCAGGTATAGTGTTATTCTCTTGGTATTTGGTAATTTGGCATATAGATGCTTCTTCTGTAGTGAGTCCTAGTTGGACTAATGCAAGATGGGAATGAACGAATGTCAGCTGTGTAACATAAAGGATGTACAGCTAAAATGTCTTATTTTGCTTCATTGAGGAACTGGAGTTGGCTGGTGTAGGTGAGGTTTTTGTGTTGTGGGTATTTCATACTTCTGGTATCTTGTTTGTTGGAGGTTTTGAAACAGAAGTGTCATCTGTGAGATCAAAAGGCAACAAGATGATTCCTGGAACATTTTCTTTGTTTTCATCAGAGATTTTAAGATGGTCTTTTCCCTTCAAATTCTTCACAGCCTTTGTATTCCAAAATTAGTGCTTCTTAATCCCGCTTTGCTGTTTGTCCTCTGAATCTTTATGTGTGGTAATAATTGAATGCGAAAGAAATGGGGTAAATCTTAGGCAGATATATCAATGGAGCTCAGAAACATGGGAATGTTCAAGAGTACTGTGTAATCTCCAGGCTGAAACAATAGAAGTCTATATTGATATACATATGGATACCTGGGGACAACAGCCCCTCTATTCTCTTCTATATGAAAAAATGAAATACCGAGGCATTGAAAGAGATCATTTGCAATTTTCATTGCAAAGAAAAGTTTTTCCTTGTGGGGGGTTGATTTGTCATTTGGCTTTTGTACGATTCGCAGGGGATGATGGAGAAATAACCCCATCACATATACTACTAGGGCTTTGGTCGGAAACCGATTCTGCAGGTCAAAAGATCCTGGAGACTCTTGGTTTTACGAATGAAATGGCAAAAGAGCTTGTCAACTATGTAAGTTCCGTTGCTTTCTGTTCTCTGCTGTGGGCTTCATAAGGGTCTAGACCGCAAACATAACATATTTACAAATCACAACACTTGCAGGTAGATGAAGGTGCCGCCTTGAGCTCTAGGTAGGAAAGCTGTACCAGTTTCTGAGATCCAGGTTTGCTGCTTGATCCGAGAATGCTGTGCTGGATGGACAAGTACCTGGTACAGCAAGTTCATGCTTTTGGGGGTAAATCACTGGCCTTTCAGAATAGTTACATACTGTAAAGTGTAACCAAAAAGCGCCAAATGCTTGCTTTGCCTTAGGATGAGATTCTCCAAATCTGTATTTTCTGATATGCAGCAGCATCTTGCAGAATGCGGCTGGTGAAAAGGCTTGGTAGTTGTATCGGAGTGGTAAATGATTTTGTGCTTCGAATTCGTTTTAATTTTTTCAATCTGTAGTCAATATGTTTTCTGTGAAACATCTACTGTTAAAATTCAACTGTGAAATTGTTTATGTTAGTAGAAATTGGGGCATCTAAATTTTGAACTAGGGAGCTTAGTCTCTCTGTATGGATATTATTATGCACTGATGATTAAAAGGCACAAATTATTTCGTATTCAAGTAGCAGAAATCTGATCGTGTAGTTGTATTTTAACAGAGAAGCTATCAAATACGCGAATAGCATTTTATCAAATGCCATAGAAAATGTACCTAAAAATAACAATACATAAACAGCATTCTCTCTGCATCCTCCCTTGTTTCTTTCACGATTTGGTCAACTTACGGATACTCGTTCCATATCTTGTTCAAACCTGCATTGACTTTAGGGACCACTAATTAGATATTAATTGATCAAATAATATACATAGACAAGCATATTAACTTTAGGGACCACTAATTAGATATTAATTGATCAAATAATATACGGCTTAATTGCAAGATTGGTCACTCGAATTGCTTTAAAATTTCACGTTTGCCACTCAAATTAATTTATTCCATTTATAGTCACTCGAATTAGTTGAACAATTCAAGTACGGTCACTCTCCATTAATCTCCGTTAACTTTGACTGACGTGGCGGTCAACTCTGACCGTTGACCGTTAAATGTGTGACGTGGCAAATAAAAAATAATTAAAAAATTATGTGTAATTTCTAAAACTGTTTATCGGCGACAACAAACTAATCAAGGACAACAAACTGGCCGGAAGAGCCGCGGCCGGAAGAGGAAAGCTGGCGCCGTTTCTTCAGTAGGCTGCGGCGCTAACCGTAAAATCCAGATATGGAATCCGGCCATCCACCGATTTAAAGAGGAAAGTACCGGCGGCTTTCTACCGGACGATGTCGTGATCGAGATCTTAATGAACCTTCCATCCGGCTCCTGCATCGCAAGATTCCGCTGAGTCTGCAAACTGTGGAACAACCGTCTCTCATACCCAGGTTCCATTTACAACGTACTCTTCACCCCCAACATTAATCTCACCGGAGACAGCGAAATTGCCCAGATCCTAATAAAGGGCGCCGAAGTCGGCGTCGACTCTTACCGCACCGTTTATTCCCTGCGCTCCTACAAAGATCTGAAACCCATCTCCCCGACTGGCGACGTAAAGGTCGATTTGCCCTCTGTCCCCGATAGGGTTCGCTCCTCTGTTTTCAACCTAGATCTGTCAATTGTGGGTTGCTGCGATGGAATTGTTTGCATAGCCGATAAACAGTTTTATGACAATAAACCTGCCGACATTTTCCTCTGAAACCCGGCAACTTCCGAGACGAAGGTTCTGCCGCCTTCACCATTCAGCAGCAATCAAGGACAACAAACTAATCAGAAAACCCCCACCAACTGCCAAACCCACTAGAACCCTCGAACCAACTCTTCTTTTGCCCTTCCTAGCGACAGGAGCAGAATTAGTAGGAGCAACGAATCGTTCCAAGTTGGAAGCAAAATCCCAGGAGTGAATCCTGTGAACGGCGACTAACCGACCGGTGGAACCGGTGAACCCAAAAGTGGCCTCTTCGGGAAGGTAATCCCTCAAATCGAACTCGACGGCCACGAAACGGTTTTCGGTAGCGTTCAATTGCCGGAAAGGAGGTTGGTGGCGGCGAAGGAATTTTTTTTATAATGATAGTGTAATTTTTAAAAATTTAATTTTTATTTTTTTAATTATTTTTTATTTGCCACGTCACACATTTAACGGTCAACGGTCAGAGTTGACCGCCACGTCAGTCAAAGTTAACGGAGGTTAACGGAGAGTGACCGAACTTGAACTGTTCAACTAATTCGCTATAAACGGAATAAATTAATTTGAGTGGCAGACGTGAAATTTTATAGCAATTCGAGTGACCAAACTTGCAATTAAGCCAATAATATACATAGACAAGCATATTATTATTATTGATCTGCCTGGAAGAAGCTCTTGTAATTAAATCCCAATTTGAACTACAAATATTCAAATTTTCAACCATGATGAAACCCCACGACTTCACAACCAAATTCATTAACTAAATTCGCCATCAGTGACTGCCTCAATGAGCTATATAAAGAGCATCTAGAAAACGGAGAACTCGAACAGTGAGCCACAAGAAAATAAGTCGAGCACGACTTGTTTATTAAAATTTTGGCTCAAGTTTGGCTTGAGTTTAACTTGAGCTCAACTTATTAATGTGCTCACTGAGTTTGATCTACTCGAGCCCATTTCATTTATGATTCTAAATGGTTGAACTCCTAGTTTAAACTTTAAAATAACTTTACAAATTAGATACCCTAATAATTGAAAAAGGAATAATAGTAAACTTTTCCTCTCACACTTATATACTCGGTTGATATCATAATTTAGTTCATAAATTTAACTAGCTAAATATCATTTTATTTAATAGAAATTAGTAAGCAACCTATAATAATCAACTTTCCATATAAATTAAAAATGAGCCATATCTGGTCATATACTCAAAGTCTTTAACCATCCTATGTTGTGAATATATAATCCAGCAAACGTATGAACTATCAACAAGTTAACTCATAAGTTGTAGATCATTCAGTAATAAGTCGCTTGTCCAATTGGCTCGCTAGCTCCACCGTCGATCCAGCTCATAAGTTCTAAACGAACTAGTTCATGAGTTGAGCTCAATTAGCCACCTAATCGAACTGACTTGCAAGTCTCATGAGCTTAACAATGCTTAGCTCAAATTCATCTCGTTAGTAAACAAAACGAGTTTCGAACATATAGAGCATCGAATCGCTAGTAAGCAATTTGGCTCATTTCCGACCCTATCACCAAGTGATGTGGGGACTTGTAGTACCGGAGCTTGTCAAGCCGGGCCGGCAGCGTAGCTGCCATTGATATTACAGTAGAACCATTACTCATCATTTCATGAATGTTTCACTGTACATTTATTGATCCGCCACCAAACGGATAACAACAAAGCATTCATTGTGTGCCGGGAAACAGAGCTCTTGTAACATTTCCATCAACGATTCAACGTCGATTGCAACCAGCTTCATTAATTAACTAGTGCCAATCTACACTCATTGTCAAACTAAGCTGACTACAAAAATTTCCAGGAAACAACTAGTTGAGGCGGAGGCTGTTGCGAAGTGAAACAGCAAGTTGGCAGTTATGTCAAAGTTGATTCTGATTTGCGGCACAGAAGGATGTGGGGACTTTGCACCAGTTCTTGTCAAGCCAGCGGCTTATAGATGCTGCATTGACATTACTGGAGAGCATTATCTCCCTTTCCATGAATGTTTTCCTGTATCATTATTGATCTGCCACCAATCGGAGAACAGAGCATTCATTGTATGCCGGAACAAGCTCGTGTAGCATTTCCATCAACGTTGATTAATCGTCAAATTACCTGTCGATTCCCGACGGTTGAGACTCTGAGACCCCCTTCTGCTTGTCAACCAACTTCATTGATTAATGAAAACTCGTCGTTACCTGCAACATGTAATCGTCGGAGTTATGCCTGTGTACATTCATCGACTAAGTAAGTTGTCTATAAAGTTTCCAGGAAAAAAGTTCATTAGCCGCAGTGATCAGGAGTTCTTCCTTCCTGAGAAAGAAAGGAACTAAACAATCAGAAAACAAAATGAAAATGTCGCGAAAATCAATCATACTACTCACTACAGTCTATTATTACATCCTGCTTTTCTCCCCACTGCTCAACTTGCTTGTGTTGCCGGCAAATGCTTCCAGCAGCAGTGCGAATGAAACCGATCGACTTGCCTTGATCGAATTCAGAAAAGCAATAACCAGCGACCCATATGGGTTTTTCCAGTCGTGGAACGATTCAGTCCATTTCTGCAACTGGGCGGGGATTTCCTGTGGAGGCAACCCTGCAGGATTGCAAAGAGTCAGATCTCTGGAGATTAATCAGCAAGACCTGGTAGGCATTCTGTCTCCACACATAGGAAACCTCAGCTTCCTTCAGGCTATCAGCCTGGATAACAACACCTTCAAGGGCGGGATTCCGGCGGAAATCGGAAACCTATTTAACCTCCAGGAGCTAAATATCACCAGGAATTCTCTCGATGGAGAACTTCCTGACAACATAACACAGTGCTCTGAGCTCAGGATTATCAGATTGCACTTAAATCACTTACAAGGGAGGATACCTCTGGGGATAGGTTCCTTATCAAAGCTCGAGGTTTTCAGGATCAACTACAATAACATGACCGGAGAGATTCCGGCTTCGGTTGGAAACCTGTCGAACCTGATAGAGTTTGCAGTGTCATTTGTCAACTTGGCTGGAACAATTCCAGAGAGCTTAGGCAACCTGCGCAGCTTGTACTCCATCTCTCTAGCCGGCAACCAACTGACCGGTCCGATTCCTCGATCCTTATTTAATAGTACGACACTCAGAATCATTGCCCTTCCTTGGAATCAATTCTCGGGTAGTTTGCCGGAGGATATAGGCTTCACCGTACCGAATCTCCAGCAGTTCGCTATTTCCAAGAACAAATTCGTGGGCCAAGTTCCCAAATCATTCTGCAATGTCACCGGGTTACAGATGCTGGACATGAACAAGAATGGTTTCACAGGACGGATTCCCAATTGTCTCGGGAATTTGGCCAGATTCACCTGGCTATCGGTTGCAGTGAATCGTCTCGGCAGTTATTCCGCAGCGGACTTTGAGTTCTTGACTGGATTGCAGAATTGTACCCAGCTACAATTGTTTGTCATAAGTGGTAACAACTTTGGAGGTAATTTACCGGACTCCATAGCTAACCTCTCAGTCCAGCTCACTAGACTTAGCGTTGCGCATAATCAGCTGACAGGAGAAATCCCTTCCGGCCTGGAGAAATTCATCAACTTGAACGACCTGGAACTGAATGATAACCTCTTCCGAGGCATGATTCCCTCTTACTTCAGCAAGTTTCCGAACTTGCAAAGCTTGCACTTGGAAGGAAATCAGCTATCGGGACAAATTCCGGCCACCATCAACAACCTGACTCAGTTGTCAGTGCTCGATGTCTCGGACAACAGACTAGAAGGCGTTATTCCCTCAGGTATCAGATCGTTTGTGCATTTGAACTACCTGGACGTTTCGGGGAACACTTTTTTCGGCACTATCCCTGGCGAGGTCTTCAGTCTTCCTTCCTTGACTAAACTATTGAACCTGTCGAACAATGTGTTCACTGGCAACCTGCCTCCAGAAATTGGGAAGTTACATTCCCTAATCGCTTTGGATGTTTCTCATAATTTGCTGATGGGGCCAATTCCAAACAGCATAGGGGATTGCAAGAGCTTGGAGTATCTGTACTTGCAAGGGAATTCCTTCAATAGGTCAATCCCTCCATCTTTAGCTTCATTGAAAAGCCTTGAAGTGCTGGATCTTTCCCTCAACAATTTAAGAGGAGAGATTCCGCTGGATCTCCAGAACATTAGCGCTATCCAGTATCTGAATCTTTCCTTCAATCACCTAGAAGGCCAGGTGCCAAGGGAAGGTATCTTTTCAAATGCAAGTAACGTATCATTAGTGGGAAATACTATGCTTTGCGGAGGTGTGTTGGATTTCCATCTCCCGAAATGCCCAACTTATAAAGTTGTCCAGCGCCATGGTATTAATTCTCGTGGACTGAGAATCTCACTGACAGTTATTTCTGTTTTAGTGGGTCTTGTCTCAATGCTAAGCCTTCTACTGATCTTGAAGGCGAGAATGTGGAAGAAGAAGCCGTCGTTTGAATATCCAATATTGCCCACCTTTATGAGGGTCTCTTACAGAGACCTGAGCAGAGCAACTGACGGATTCTCTTCCTATTGTTTAATTGGGTCTGGCAGCTTTGGCGTCGTCTACAAAGGTAAACTAAATGAAACCGAACCACCAGTAGCTATCAAAGTGCTGAATCTAGAGCAAAGGAAGGCTTACAAGAGCTTGGCGGCGGAATGCAATGCACTGAGAAGCATTAGGCATCGGAATCTCGTCAGGGTTGTGTCCTTCTGCTCCAGCTTGGACAACAATGGCAACGAATTCAGAGCTCTGGTATTCGAGTACATGCCGAATGGGAACTTGGAGAAGTGGTTGCACCCCATGGATGGTTCACTGAGTTTAAGCCTCATTCAAAGACTAAACATCGCGATAGACGTAGCATCCGCGCTACACTATCTTCACGACCTATGTGAAACCTCGATAGTTCATTGTGACTTGAAACCAAGCAATGTGCTGCTCGATGAATCCATGGTTGCTCATTTGTGTGATTTTGGCATTGCAAGGATACTTTCCGCCGAGGACGCATCCTTATCTAGCACCATTGGCATCAAAGGAACAATTGGGTATACCCCTCCAGGTTAGCATAAACCCTAAACATGATTTCCATCTTCAAAGTGCACGGATACTGTGATACTTACTGTATGTGGTTACCATGGCAGAGTATGGAATGGGCAGCGTAGCTTCGAAAGAAGGCGATGTCTACAGCTTTGGTATCCTACTATTGGAATTGTTCTCCGGGAAAAGACCTACTGACCAAATGTTCGGAGAAGGCCAGAATCTCAGAGAATTTGTGAGGGCGGGGCTGCCAGATCTGATATCCGTCGTATTGGATCCGCTGCTTTTACCAGGTGGTGGAGACGGAATTGAACCCACGGAGGGAGAAGGCAGCAGCAGCAATGAGATCACCGAAGCAGCCGCAGTGCGGCAAAGAGACAGTAACTCGACAGACGAGAGGCTCATGAGGTCGAGTCAATACCGCAATTGCATGATTTCAGCGGTGGAAATCGGAATAGCTTGCTCGTTGGAGTCGCCGGCGGAGCGGATGAAGACGGCGGAAGTTTCCCTGAAGCTGCAATCCATCAGAGAAGTTTTTCTGGCGAGCACCGTCCGTCGATCGAGAGCAAGGCCTGCTCTGGATCCAGCGTAAACAGGGAAGCTCCCGCCTGCTCGCTTCTTGTACAAGGTCAAGGACGATTCTTCATTCCAAAAATCATACTCTTCTAATCGGCCGGTCTCGATGGCTTCATATAAAACCGATTGGCGGCAGTTCTGAATATCACCGTCTCTCAGCAACCCGATTGCGACGCATTCCTGCTCTTCCCGCCGAAAGAAGCGAAGGGTGACCGGAATCAAATGACTGAAAGGGTGGAGTCGACGTTGAATCAGGTTAACTGGGAATTCCACTCAGGTTTCAGAATCAGGTTCGGGGCAGCTCAGATTGCAGGCCGAGTAACTCACGGGCCAAAAAGACGACATCGAACACGTCATCGGCAAGTTCTGATATATTTCATAAGGTCCAGTTATTAATTATGGTAGGATAATTATTATTAGGGTTAGTAATCTTTTAGTCGTATTAGGGTTACTATTAGGATTTTCTATCTTTTTCTATAAATATGTACTTGGGTATTCAGTTATAATCAATCAAGAAAAAATTATCAAAGTATCTTTTCAAACTTAATCTCTCCTAATCCTCTCAAACTCTCTTCTTTCACTAATCTGGTTGCCGGTCATTCTGTTCTTGTTCTTCGCCAATTCTATTTCTGATTCCCAAATTCTCTTCTAAATCCCTAAATCTCCATCAATTCCTAATCCTGACGATAGAACCCTAAAAATAGGTTTCTCTCAAGTTCCCTGTGCTGTTTTTTTTTATTTATCACATCGGCGACCGATTGTCGGGGATCATGGCGGCGACTTTGGAACAGATTCCTTATCACCCTGGCGGCTAAAGCTGCATTGACTTTATTAAGGGTTAATAGCTGCATTGACTTTCTTTAAGGGTTAAGAGCTGCATTGACTAAATATAATTCTCTTTTTTACACATTATTGAAGAATATACAGCAACGTCACAACAAAAAGAAATTATATGGAGAAACATTATTAATCTGCCACTGGCTGTCCGACCACCTGAATATATACCTGAGCACCGTAGAAAACTTCATCAGCCTTTGTGATCACAAACGGAAAGTTAACCTGCTTTCCACTTTCTATGTTAGCCAAGAAAAAGTTTGTAAAGAACAATGTCGAGTAATGCTATCCTACTCCTACTTCTCGCCACAATCTACAATTCCTTCTTCCTTTTCTCCCCGTCAATCAACTTCCTGTTGCCTGCAAATGCTGCTAGTACAAACGAAACTGATCGACTTGCGCTACTTGAATTCAGAAAAGCCGTAACCAGCGACCCAAATGGAGTTTTGCAGTCCTGGAATGATTCAGCCCATTTCTGCAACTGGGTCGGCGTTTTCTGCAACGACAAACAACGAGTCACATCTCTAGCCATCTCTCAGCAGGACCTGGTGGGCACTCTGTCTCCATACATTGGCAACCTCACCTTCCTTCAGGCTATAAGCCTGGATAAGAACAGTTTCCAGGGCGAGATCCCGGCAGAAATTGGCAACCTGCTTCACCTCCAGCACCTAAATATCAGCAGGAATTTCCTCACTGGAGAAATTCCTGACAACCTGACCCGGTGCTCCGAGCTCAGGATCATTCAACTGCAGATCAATCACTTACAGGGGAGGATTCCTTGGGAGATTGGGTCACTGTCCAAGCTCGTGTCCATAAGGATTCAGCAGAATAATTTGACCGGGGAAATTCCACCTTCGGTCGGAAACCTGTCGAACCTGATGGACTTCGGAGCTTCTTTTCTCAACTTGGTGGGAACAATTCCGGAGAGTTTAGGCAACCTGCGCAGCTTGCAAAACATCTCTCTCGCCAATAACCAACTGACCGGTGCGATTCCTCGATCCTTCTTCAATAGTACTTCAGTTGGAATCATCGCCATTCCTTGGAATCATTTCACAGGTAGTTTGCCGGAGGATATAGGCTTCACGCTACCGAATATCAGGAAGTTCGCTATTTCCAAGAACGAGTTTGTGGGGTCCATCCCAGAATCGTTCTGCAATGTCACGGGGCTAGAGATGTTGGACATGAACAAGAATGGTTTCACGGGACGGATTCCCAATTGTCTCGGGAATTTGCCCAGATTCAACTGGCTATCGGTGGGAGACAATCGTCTCGGCAATTATTCGTCAGCGGACTTGGAGTTCTTGACTGGGTTGCAGAACTGTAGCCAACTGCAATGGTTTGTCATAAGTATTAACAACTTTGGCGGCTCTTTACCTAGCTCCATAGCTAACCTTTCAGCCCAGCTCACTACAATTGCCCTTTCGCAGAATCAGTTCACAGGACAGATCCCTTCAGACTTGGAGAAATTCGTCAACTTGAATTACCTCGATCTGTCTTATAACTTCTTTCGAGGTATCATTCCCCCTTCCTTCGACAAGTTGCTGAATTTGGAAAGCTTGCTCTTGTTAGTAAATCAGCTATCGGGACCAATTCCAATCACCATTGGAAACCTGACTCAATTGTCAGTGCTCGATGTCTCAAACAACGGACTAGAAGGCATTCTTCCCTCGGGTATCAAATCTTGTGCGCAATTGAACTATTTGGACGTTTCCCGGAATTCTCTTGTCGGGATTATCCCTAGCGAAGTCTTCACTCTTCCTTCCTTGACTAAACTATTGAACCTGTCGAGCAACATGTTCATCGGCAACCTGCCTCCAGAAATCGGGAAGCTAGAATCCCTGAACACCTTGGATGTTTCTCATAATCTCCTGATGGGGCCGATTCCGAACACCATCGGGAGTTGCAAGAATTTGGAGTATCTCTGCTTGCAAGGGAATTCCTTCAATGGTTCCATCCCTCCTTCTTTAGCTTCCTTGAAAGGACTCCAACATCTGGATCTTTCCCTCAACAAATTACAAAGCGAGATTCCACAGGATCTTCAGAACATTAAAGTTCTCCAGTATCTAAATCTTTCCTTCAATCACCTTGAAGGCCAAGTGCCAAAAGAAGGCATCTTTTCCAATGCAAGTGGGCTATCCCTAGCAGGAAATGGTATGCTCTGTGGTGGTGTAGTGGATCTACATCTCCCAACATGCCCAACCAGTAAGGGTATTGAACATCATGGTACCAAATCACGTAGAATTGCCTTGATATTTATTGTTCCTTTTGTGGGTCTATCATTCCTTTCATTGTTAGCATATCTATTGATCTTCAAGACGAGAAGGTCGAAGAAGCCGGCTGAAGAATATCCAATACTACCTAGTTTTATCAGAGTGTCTTACAGAGACCTCTACACAGCAACTGATGGGTTCTCGTCAAGTTGTTTAGTTGGGTCTGGCAGCTTTGGCGATGTCTACAAAGGTCAGCTAAATGACACTGAGGCACCAGTAGCTATCAAAGTTCTGAAGCTAGAAAAAAGGAAGGCTTACAAGAGCTTGGCCGCAGAATGCAATGCACTGAGGAGCATTAGGCACCGGAATCTCGTCAAGGTTCTATCCTTCTGTTCCAGTCTGGACAACAATGGCGATGAATTCAGAGCTCTGGTCTTTGAGTACATGCCCAATGGGAACTTGGAGAACTGGTTGCACGCCACAGATGGTCCCCGGAATCTAACCCTGGTTCAAAGGCTCAATATTGCGATAGATGTAGCATCCGCGCTACACTATCTTCATGACCTCTGCGAAACTCCAATCGTTCATTGTGATTTGAAACCAAGCAATGTGCTTCTCGATGAATCCATGGCTGCTCATCTGAGTGATTTCGGCATAGCAAGGATCCTTTCGGCCGAGGAAGATACCGCCTTATCTAGCACAATTGGCATCAAAGGAACGATCGGTTACACTCCACCAGGTTATAACATAAACCCTAAACACGATTTCCATCTTCGTAGATATAATCGTTTGTGAAATCAAATGCACTTACAATTACTGTGTTATATGGCAGAGTATGGGATGGGCAGCTTAGTGGCAAAAGAAGGCGATGTCTTCAGCTTCGGAATCCTCCTCCTGGAACTGTTTTCCGGCAAAAGACCCACCGACCAAATGTTCGGAGACGGCCGGAATCTACGAGATTCTGTGTGTGCAGCGCTGCCGGATACGATATCCGGGGTACTGGACCCGATGCTCTTCACCGGTGGAGACATAATTGACTCGGTGGAGGAAAACGGCAGCGGCAATGAGATCACCGAATCAGTCATTCTCCACCACGGAGCGAGTAACTTGAGGGAGGAAAGACTCACGAGGTCGAGCCCATACCGTAATTGCATGATTTCGGTGGCGGAAATCGGAATAGCTTGCTCACGAGAGTCGCCGGCGGAGCGGATGAAGACGGCGGACATTTCACAGAAGCTGCATTCCATCAGGGATGCTTTTCTGGCCAGCACCGCCCCTCCTCGACCCAGAGAATCACCAGGCCGGGCTTGATCCAGGAATCCGCCCAGATGGGCCAACTAGTTCTGGGCTTTATTTTTACTTTATGCAATTGTGCCAGTAAAATGGGCCTGGCAATTAGAATTAGGAAAAGGGGGACAAAAAAAAAAAGAGCTCAAGAAATTGTATTAAACGGTACTAATTCCAGAAAACTTGAAAATAGTCCGTCCGCCGAAAGGGTTCGTTCCATACCGGTCGTTCTCAAAGTCTTACCTTTTCTTCCTTTCCCTTGTTGGTCCGTGCGCGCGCCAACTCGCAGGAACTGAGGGGGTTTAAGCTCACTGCTAAACCCTACTTTCAGCCAGCGTTCTTCTTCCTCTCCGAAACTCCCCTTCCAGCGCGGAACAATGAGCTTCGCGGCCTGCAAGATGATGCACTTGCCGACCGGCATTGAATGCTGCGACGCCGGCTTCATCACGCATTGCCGCGCCGACTTCGTCCCTCCAATTGCTCCAATGCAGACCGACGAACTCGAATCCGAGTGGCCTTCCAATCGAAGCACTGGCCCAATCCCTAACCTCGTCGTCACTGCGGGCAACGTCCTGGAGCTCTATGTAGTTAGGGTTCAGCAGGAAGGCAGCAGGGAGTCGAGAAATTCAGGCGAATCGAAACGTGGTGGGCTGGTCGATGGCGTCTCTGGCGCTTCGCTTGAGCTAGTGTGCCACTACAGGTGCTATAGTTATAATTTATTGCCGCAGTGGTTTTTTCCCCTTCTTGTTTATGGTGAATTCAAGTATCCGCTTCTGTTATAGGTTGCACGGTAATGTCGAATCAATGGCGGTACTGCCTACAGATGGAGGCGATAGTTCCAGGAGGAGGGATGCAATTATCTTGGCGTTCAAAGATGCCAAGATTTCGGTGCTGGAGTTTGATGA